GTAAGTATACCAATATCTCCTACTGTAAGTGTATATCTAACCTATGTCTCTAGCAGTGACAGTGTGTTAGAGGCCGTGGCACTTCGTTACATTCAGTAGACTCCCGACATCCCTTAATTCTTTAAACAAAGCCGTTTATGACATACAAGCGCCTTTGAATTATGTTGTGGTTGAACTTAGAAATGAAGACTAACATTCAACACAGGTCACAGGTACCAGTGCCAATTTATGTATAGAACCGATAAAACGAAAATGTGACTAATACTTGTAACGGAGATAAAATTATATTTCCAAATAATAATTGTCTGACTGTTTTCACTGTTTTGACCGAACGTTGAACTGAAATATTTAGACTATTAAGCATAAGTCGCTATTCGATTATTAAGTAAAATCGTTTCCATTTAAACATCAAACTTAATTCCATGCTAAAGATCAACAAGCAAATTATTTTTATACTCAGAAGCTAACTGAAAAAAATCCAGGAGTGTATTATTTTATAAATTACCTATAAACCTTATTTGATACTCCAGGGGTTACCTTCACTTTCGCCCTCTGCACCCCTGGAATATATCATGGCAAATTTGAAGGCACAAGCGAAGTAATTTGATTGGTTCAAGGAGAAAACAATCTGACCAACCACAGGCTGATACTTTCCTTTTGAAGGCTACAAAGGAGCAACACACAACTTCAAAGCCATTACAATATATCATTATGCAACCACGAGATTCGTTTGATGTACAACAAAGGATCGTTTTAGTCTCTTCGTCTTGTCCTCATGGTGTTGCATACGGAACTTTTAATTTTACCATGGCATGTTCCAGGGGTGTAGAGAGCGAAAGTGATGGTAACCCCTGGATGCCTATAAACGGAAAATAGAAGGTTGAGAGTCTGTCTATATATTCTTTTAGAATTACAACATCTACCAATATTATTGGTTCTGACTAAATTCACAACAGACGGTTGGTTGAACCTTTATAATTCTTGTTTCAAATCAATACAATGGAAAACTACGAACGACAGAAATGTTAACGTGTAAATGGATAAAACAGAAAAACGAGTCTGACACACATTTGTCAGGAATAACATAACCTGGATACGGACCACGGTCAATAGTGATATTTTAGAACGAGTCTGACACACATAGTTTTCAGGAATAACTTTCACGTGCCTCGATCAATGTTGATATTTTATAATATAGCTGACACCCGTAGTTGTCAGAAATAACCCATACACGTGACACAATCAATATTGATACTTTTTAATGATGTTGACATATATGGTCTTATTTTATTATGAAAATAATTAAGATGATTATAAAATAAACATGTTACCACACTAGCTTCATAATTGCTAAATACAAAAGACAAATTGACAAACAAAAATTCAATGAAGCTGAAATCGTTTTGTCGTCTTTGCATTCATATTGACTATGAACATCAAATGATAACAATTCAATACACAACTGCCACATTTGGTATTTAATTTTACGAGCCATTGAATATCATAACATTAACATATCAAATTTAATCACTTATCAACATTAAAACATGCGCGTGCTTAATAAACTGAACAAGAGGGAGGTTGAACATTCTAAATTTTGTATAATGATAATCATGTTATGCAATGAAGACGACAGCAATTAGGCCATGATCTTCATAGAGCTGTAAATGACACCTGATTTTGTTAGTTTTATTTTGAGGAATTATCATACAAATCTAAATTCAAATATTTGACTGAACTTTTCAACTTGGTTCTATTTTGTTGCCGAAAAATTTTCTTCACTAAATTTAATATTTTTATCAGCCGACATGAGTTTGGTGTGATGTTTTGAAATAAAAAAAAAATTCTTTTTAATGAGTTTTGATAAACAGAAATATTTACACAGAAAGCAGAAATTCTTGAAAAGGTACTAGATAGATAGATTTTTCCGTTAATAGATTTTTCCGTTATGGTAAGCATCTTTGCTCTATCGACGATATCCTCCATGTAAATACAGTCAATTCTAGTTATGTCACGTCCTAATAGATTGTACAAAAGACACACCCGTGAATAGCACCTTTTAATACAATTTTAGAGATAGATTCACTAGAGCAATGCAATGAATTAAACTGCATCATACAACTGTTTCGTCTTCCAGGACTCGTCAGTGATGCTAGGGGCCTAAATTTGGAAGTCTAGGACCCGAAGTGATCGAAAGAAAAGTCAAAACATCGACGGGGAGGTGCACTAACCCCATTATTTAAATCATTTGGTAATTTCATATATCCGAAGATTTTAGAAGAACGTCAAAAACGTGAACAAGGTGGAGCCATCAGGGATACTAACGAGTATAAAACATATCTATTGTTTTCTCGCACAATAAAACCAGAGGCCGCAACGGTCATCTGGCTGCAAAGACCTATAAGTTTGAAAATACAATACAACATCGCTGTTTATTTCAGTTTCTCGAAACGCAATAAGAGGTTAAAATGTGTTTTGAAATGGTCAAGACCGTCTATGGATCGTTTCGGGAGATGTTTCAGCTGAATCCCACCGGTGGAACTTGAGTAATTTAAGATGAGCGTTGTTCTGGAAAACCAATATTGCATATTCAAGTTACAAAATGGCCGCCGTTGCTGCCATTTTCATAGTTTTGACGAGATCCAAAAATAGTAACCTTGCAGCTTTTACTTAAAAAAATATCAACATTTAATTAAATCTATCTCACGTTTATTTCAGAATGGTTTGCAAGGTGCACGTCTGGCGATACATGGCTACAAACGAAACACGATTGCTGTAAGTCATCTTGACTGTTCGGGTCAGGTAACCTAATAAAAACGAATGATGATACATACCACAAACTGTTCCATAATCACTACCAACTTGCATCTTTGTAGGAATCTCCTAACATATTAGCATATTAGTGGTATGCAAACACCATAGATGGGCAAACGGTTATGTTATCATAAAAAAACTCTCTTTAGGTAGATTTATTTGAGATATCACAAACCATACTGTTAAACTATTACTGATTTCACTCTGGATGATGATCGAGGTTAGCGGAAGTGGTTTGACAATCGAGAAGTGCTAATACATCCTACATAATGTGAACGTTATAAAGATTCAATTTTGAACAAAAAGTTTTCATTTCTAATTAAAACATAGTTAAAACAAAATTCAATGGTGTTGTGATATTAAATAGTCTTCAATGAGTATCAATTTGTTAATGCCTATCAGCTGACCAAAATATGTAGAATTATACCCGGTATCCACGATGACAGACCATCATGTAAACTACCAAACAGAAATGGAATTCACCAGTCTGTAAATGACGTTGTTCGAGTCCAAGTATTAATTTACACAACCTAATATTAACCATATGAATGACAACAGTACTCACGTCAGAATGAACGTTCCATATTATTCGCTATGTCGAAGTAATCAAATCTGGTAGTGGCATTTATGATCAATATGAACGACACAGCCTTACGGGCGAGTATACAAAGTACAAATCGCCCATGAATTTGCATACGAAGCTAATGCTGAGTTATCCTTATCAATTACAAATGCCACTCACGAAGTTAAATGTTGAAACCTTTAATGTGATACACGAACAAAAGAATAATGAACGTTTTTCCCTCTAATTTGTTCTCCTTACAAGACAACAAAATTACAACATGAAGATGATTTTTTACGTAATTTACCAGTACTGGAAACTTATGATAAGTCAAACTCTCTAGTATTTATCTGTTAAATAGCCATGCTCCCAAAATATAGGTTTCTGATAATAAGGTATTTTCAATATACAGCAATTCAGCGGAAAAAATTTAAATTATCGCCGATTAAGAATTCAAAACACTAGAAGTAAGACATTGTATGAAATAAACAAGAACCTACGACCTTCATTTTCTATTACATGTTTTTTAACCAGAATTCATTAGACAATAAAAGCACGTTGGACGGACTGTATGACGCCAACAAGAAAATCTCTGAGTATTTTCATAGTAGATTGATGGAAAGTCTTAGATACTGACTGAGAGTTTTAAAGGAAGGAATAAAGTCGGAGAAAATCAACACAGGATACATCGAATATGAAATAAATAGAGAAAACTATAGCCCGGTATATATATTTTTTGTTTTAAGATATCGATAAGACCGTGAAAATCTGGGATCTAAAAACAGCATGCGTTTGTTTCTTTCTTTCTGTCAAAGCTTACTTTGTTGGGTAAACTGTGTCATTGCCATTGTTAAGGACTGATAAAGACATACACAGTAAAAACAACGGCAAAACATTAGCTAAACAGAGCAAAGAGTCATGAAAACGGACAGGTATAATACATGATGATATGTTAAAATATGAAATAACATTTTTAAAATGCTTAACACACAACATGGTTTCAATATTTCAAGATTCAAAATTTAACTATGTATAAACAATGATATCAACAATGAAAATTAATCACAATATCTGTAAAGGACATCTGATACGTCATTGGAAATAGATTGTCTCAATCACGTGACCATTATCAATGTACTCATAAAAATCTTGTTCGTTTATGCCATTGTGCACATGCACGTAATCCATAAAAGGAGCGTGGCTTCAAGAACACTTCAAAATTATGACTCTGTCATCCAGCACTAATTCAATATTTCCAAGTCGATGGATGAAAACCTTCTACTATATGATGTATGAATGAGTTTAGTGTTGTCATCAGAGACTAACCCAAGATAAGGAGGTTTTCGAAGAACTTGTTCATAGTTATACTCAGAGATATCCACAAAAGTGTTTCTTTCAAGAGGATGGAATGTCTCTTTCTTCACAAATATTGTCGGTTCTTGTCAATGGCCGTAAAAAGGGTTAGTGAATGACGGGCTTTTAAAATATATCCATGAAAATAAGTGAAGATACCAAAAGGCACCTCCCACTAAATGATGTGACGTCATTGATAGAGGGAATATCAAGCCACGTTCTTACATAAGTATTCTCTGAGGAATTACGTCTTTACTTTGGGAAGGACGCTTCACCATATGGAACACTTATGTTTGGGGTTCATTCTGCTACCTGGTTTACATTTATAAGCCTCTGAGAAATCCTTGGAGTTGGACAATGGACCTAATACCCTGAAATTATAATTTTATTGTTATTATCAGATTATATGTAAAGTTTTGCAATTAATTTCAAATTCAAAATTTTTAGATCTGAATTGAAGTTTTTTATCCCCAAAACTAAAAAATAAGACGTGGCTTATTTTCCTTAAAGGTAATCAAATGCAGACTAGGACAGGAGTAGGTCAGTTCGTTTTTCAAGGTAAATCAATTTCACTCCTTGAAATGCTCAGATGTAATCCATATTTTGATTAATGAATATATAAATTACTGGTTAATATACTATCATATTATGTTTATCCTTTTCATTAAATACTAGATTGAATTATTTCTCTCATCCGTCTGCTTGCATGAGAATTTTGAACATATTATGAGCGGACTGTCCATATTTGACTTTCTAAACATATTTTATCCCAACGCATGTAGAGGTGTTAAATACATACCGAATGGATCCGGGACTGTGGACTGAGGTTCGAATCTCATGTAAAGCTTCCTCATTGCGCATACTTCCACACCAAATCTATTGGAATTTCAGTACATTTATTTATAATGGTGAAATTAATCTCAAAGGAAAAAAACGTGTGTAAACAGTTTTCATTGTGTGTTTTCAGATTAGGCCCATTATGTCCAATGAAATACTAGATGAGATAGAGTTGATTTTCGCTGCACTTTGTCGATATCAAACAAAATCTTATATGATTGACAATAGATGATTTAAACTCTTTTTGCTAAATATATATGCGTGTATGCATCTTTTATATTATTTGATTAAAATTGAAATGTCTAGTTTCTGACCCTGCATAACACCAAAATGCTTTTATCAAGTTTTTCTCTTAAGGTCGTTTTTTTGCAGGAAATCAAGATTTGTAAATACAAAGTGAAAAATCGATACCGAGAAAAATAAATGCAAAAGTCATCCGTAAACTATGAAAGATACACATGTTATCCGTGAAATGTAAAATAAATACACAATTCATTTGTGAAATACATGATAACACACGTTATTACGGAAATATATACCTTTTCGAATTCCAACGTTTGCTGAAAGCCCAAAATTTTGCGCCGATGAAATAAGAAACTGTCTGAAAGTTTTACTAAGAATGTTGACCGAACTATAAATGTTTTCCGGTTTATTGACATACGTTTCGAATTTGTTAAATTGGAACGAAATTGGTGTAAATAAGTTCGAAAAGGTTATTCCTTTCGTGTTTAAACACGATTAACATCCAGGAATGTCCTTAATTTGTAATGTCAATGACATTAGTTTTCAACATGGAACTTGATGTAGGTATTTGGCAACTGTTATTGTAATAACAATGCTTCATGTAATAGTTGTTACATCAAGCGTTGAGACTACTTTGCTTAGTGCAATAAACTTCTTGTTTCATTCGTTAAGCATTGTTACTATGTCAAAGGTTGCAACATTGGATGGAATACCTGTCCATAGTTTAGAAAGAAGAGTTGATCGTGCGTTAATTCCAGACTTGGCAAGGCCAGTTCCTCTCCATGTTTTGCCACCCATTTCTTGTATGCCTGAACAAGTAAAATATTTAATTGGTTATTCTTAGTCTTTTCTATATAAGAGTTTTAATTTTAGCAGCCTATAGTAAACTAATAATATTCCTTATCATAGATAATTCCAGTACTATTAATTAAATATACTCGTACCATAATTTTGTGTATCATAAATAACTGTGATGTCAGTTTTAAATAATTAGACGATGTCAAACACCCATAGATTGCATTGTGACGTAAAAATGGAAAACAATCGATACAGAGCAAAAATTTGTAAAGTTTAACATTAAAAAGTCTGAAATATATTAATAATTATAAAACACATTTCGTCAGGTTGGTAATGTCCATAGAACAGAAGTTCTTATCTTATAACACGGTCAGTAGAAGATTTGAGTGTGACGTTTCGATGACGACATGGTCACCTTCAACAGAAAAGTGTACTAGTCCAGACGTACTTAGTGCTGGTCTATAATCCTATGTTTACTACGGACGAAAATAGCGTGACAAAATGGACATATTTAAGACAAAAACATATACAGATGTAACAATGTAAATAACTCGGCTACGCTTTGTTAAACATCTGGTCATAGATAGTTATCGAGACGCCACACTCTGATCTTCTACTGGTTGTGTTTTAAGAACTTCTGTTCTAATAGAAAAGATATTCAAATCATAACCATTTGTTAAAAGATTTATAAAATTAATTTTTTGTCATTTTAGATTACCTTTAAAGACTTATTTTAAATGACTCACAAATCACATACCCTCACATATGCGTCTCAATTTTTTTTTAATTTATCTTAACTGGCGAATATCTATTAAAATTTGAATTGTTTAGACTCGTAATGCAAATACAATATTGCAATATATAATATATATATATAACAAATCATTTTTCTATGTCTCAGGTGGAATGAAGTCACGTGATCGAGCATTTCAGGTATGATCCAGGATTTTAACACTGAAAGTTGTGTGTAATATTATCCTCTGAGATCACAAACGGGCCCTGATGGACAGTTAAGGTCGAACCTACCCTATATGACTGTTTAAGGCCTCCGTTATCTGCTATATTTTCACCCTGCGTGTTTTTGCCATCAATCTGTAATAAAAATCACGAAAGCGTTATTATCAAATAGAAATAATAAATCAAACTAGGATGTTGTTGAATAAAAATATAATCATATATACACTACCGGAAAAAATGTGTATGAAATGTTCATGTATTGTTAAATTTCATTAATTAAAGCTTTAAAATTTACTCAGGTAAGTTGTGTATGGCTGTCCGTTATTTATAATGATCAGTGCATGATTTGCACGGGTAGCTTGTCTGTCTGGCCCACGTCTTCGTTTTCATGTTTGTCGCCTACACCTTTGTGAAAGCATTGTATAAATACATTTAAAATCAGCACAATTTTGATAAACGTCTTTGATGTGCCATGCTAAGATTGAATGAAACTGACAGATGGCGCGTCGGAGGCATGATCGAAGCTGGCGTATGTCATACTGACGTTCCCAGACAATTTGGTGTGCACGCCTTGTGGAGACTTTACTAACAGTTTGATACCACCAAGGACCTGTCTCAGTCAGCATTTCCACGCGTAACGTCTGGATATGTATATCAGGACTGGGCACGTGTTCTTTTCACGGATGAGTCCAGGTTTCATCTCAACAGCAGCGATGGTCGTTCTAGATTGTACCGTCCTGTCGGCGAACGTTTCCAAGACAATTGTGTGATTCAACGACGTCCAGATCACCTCACGACAAGTCGTGAAGAAATCATCCGGCCTCACGTTCTTCCTTTTGTGCAGCAATGTAATGCCATAATGTGAATGTGCTACCATGGCATGCAATGTCACCTGGTATGTTGCCCATAGAACATGTGTGCCTACGTCGCTTCCATAACGTCAGCCGTTGACGTTATCTGATCTGTCACGTATCGCTTTGTGTTTCACCGGTTGATGGCCCTAATGACCTTTTATTTGTTGACGGGCCGTTCAGATTGTAATAATAATAATAACATGCGCTTGTGAGAATACGGCTTGGTATTCTCAAGGCATTTTTCAGTACATTTGTCGCAACAATGAGGCGTCGTTGCCCAGCATACATCGATTCCAGTGGTGAATATACACGATATTGATAAGTTGAACTTTGTGTAGAAAACGTCTGTGAAAACTGATCTCTATCCAAGACGGTGCTGATGCAATAACCATATCCATTGGGCTTGTGTTAAATAAAGGTCAGACAAAACACTGTAGGAAAACTTTTTGGCTATGTCTTATATATATCCTAAGTCAAAGCATGTTACACCCATGCAGAGGCATTTTCCCGCTAGTATATATATATACATAGATATCAATATCGAAGTAACAAGTATCAGCTCCATTCCAACACTGTTACTGGTATGTTCATGTATAACATCTTTTACTGTTGTTGTTATTATTTTATTAGTTTTTGTATGGTTCACAAACCGAACCAAGAAACAACAAATATCATCATTGTTTATGAGACCAGTTGCTTCTAAAAAGAATTCTTAATATTGAAATTTTTAAAAAGTGCAAAAGAAATACGTTGAACTTGAACATGAAGATGCTTGACTGTTAAATAACAAAGGTTCTACATTATGTAATTGCAAACAAAAAGCCAAAGAAGCAAAAAAAAACTAATATAGAGTGGAAGTATGGCATCTCGTAACAACAGCAATTGTATATATATTAGCCATTGCTGAAGTACTTTGCAATGTAATCCGTTAGCGGAACTTACTTACATTTAGTCCGATCTGTTCAAGAGTATAGCTGGAATACTGATCGATAATGCATTGGGCCTGTTTCCTAAATGCCTCTATCGTTTCATTCTTCCACCATTGTTTCATGTTTCCATCCTTGTCGTACTGACGACCTGTAGACATTAGCATATTTATGTTGAGTTATCCCACGTTACACGACAGTTTGAATTAATTTGTACAAAATCATAGAAGTATCCATGGACACTTCATCAGATGTGTTAATTCATTTATAAGTGCGATAAAAATGCATTAATACATTATTTTCCATTTGATACTAGCTTCATCAGATTTGTGTTTGATTTAATATATCTCGCTATGTTTATTTCTGGATTTCCACACTTTCGGTCCTAAGCATAATTTTTTTATTTGGTTATTTTATTTTAACTACTCATTTCACTTTCTCTGGAGATAAAATAGAAACGTCTATATGAGATAGCTGACGTCACCATGGTGATCACAGACAAATTGATTTATTGAATTTCATAAAACTGAGTATTTATCATAAAACTGAGTATTACCTTTGTCATCAAACCCGTGAGTAATTTCATGTCCTATCACCACACCGACTCCGCCATAATTCAGAGATCTAACACAAATAAAGCATTGAGTGTTTATAGTATAAGCTAAGATCGACGGAGTGCTAGATTGGAGTTTTTGTGATTAAAGTTAAGACTCAACAACATACTTTCTTCTCATAGCGTTAACACTTGTCATTTGTCATGGTAATATTTGTGGAATGGAATACACATCAGTAGGATAATAAAACAGATATTCATACATATAACTGTATGTTTTGATATTTTTAGACCAAAATGGAGAAGCTTCTTTGTCACTTACTTTGGAAATTTATCGCTGTAAAATAAGGGCTGCAAAATCCCAGCTGGAAAAACTGATCAAAGTTATACAGATTAATATCAAATCATTTTTATACGGCAGTTTAGTGTAATTATATTCTCTTATTAAGCCATTTAAGTTTGTTATTCAAAGTAATGTATTATTATTGTGTGCTCCAAAGTTGTGTTCTGTCTTAAACCTGTCATAACTGTCACCTTTATACTAAGGTCACCTGTCTATAAAGGCCACTTTTGTGGTTCCATATGTAATGCAATCCATAGTAATTGAACCTCTGTATAAAGGCCAGCTATGTATAAAGGTCTTTTTCACTGTTCCATTGTTGGCCCTTTCAGACAGATTGACTGTACAATGTATACGCTATAATGTTAGGTGCTTAAGAAAATCTTCATACTTTTTTTTATTAAAGTTAATATTGTACCTGCATTAAAAGTTAATACCTGTGGCAGAATCCTTCTTTTCTGTGTTAGTTTAACAATCATACCTAACAATAACTTTATACATACATGTAAAATTAGCTATAGTATGTCTCGTTCGCACAAGATCAGTAGTTCACTTCTGGAACAAGGGACATAACTCATACATACCTATGTCGTTTGTGTTTGGGTTGTAAAACGCATTAACCATGGCTGGGCCTTGGTCCCACCTTGTAAATAGAGTATTTTATGAAAAAGAGCTGATGCAAATTAAAAGATGACGAATTATATTTTATATTTATCAGTTTTGATTAAGGTCTTATGCGTAAATTCAAAAAGACATTTTGCAGTGTTTGTCTAGCTAGAGCAGAAAATGCAATTTTAATTTGGAATACAATATATGAAAGAACCAAAATGACATCATGTCAGACATTTTTATCAAATATTTTGTAATGATAGAGTACATGAGGCCAAAAATAGGATAAGCATTGTTAAAGATATCTATTTTTCTTCATTAAATTTTTATTAGACAGGTTGAATATGTCTTTCAAAATATGGAAATTTACAGCAAATCTTACGCATTTTTGTCCACAAGTTGACGTAGTTTGGTCATTGTCATGCGGGCATCGTAAAGCTCCACATTAAGTATGTTTTCAAAGTACTGATCATCTTGGAAATGGAGCTAGATTGGACAAAATACAATCAGAAACTAAGATATATCTTGTTTACAAACGTCAGAGTCAGTGGGATGTGGTTTGATGTAATTTTACAAGTCATGTTTAGAATTCTCCTTACAGTAGCATTAGATCTAAATATATATGCTTATATAATACCATTCACATTATGGAATATGAAAAAATACACCACGCGATGTAAGTACACCCCCTTTGTAATTATTGTTTGTTTTGGAAAAAAGTTCATTTCTGTATGTCCTGTCAGATGCAGTTTAATTCATTTCTGTATTGTATCATACCGTTAATATAGCTTAATTCGTAATCAAAATCAGTTTTATGTGCTTTACACAAACATCCAAAACACTTATGATGGGAAAATGGAGAAAAGATAATGATAAAAAAAAGCAAAGTGATACTTACTATACTATACTTTGCATCAAGTTTTGAGGGTTCTGTTAAAAAGTCCGGGTATCCAATCCTTTCATTCATTGCATTGGCCTATTATTGGAAAGAGACGAATGTTTGACGACATTAATGCTAACATAGTAAACTATACTTGAGGCTTGTTTCAAAAATTATACTTTAACGTTGGTCGATTTGTACAAAGTGTTAAGAGGTTTATGCTTGCTATACGCAGTACACAAAAAAGTAAAGGAGATTATGTATATAACTTTATAGACAAAAATATTTGGTAGTTATGGGACCAGTGTCCGAAGCTGACGGCTAACTGTTCACCTTTTCTCGTGCCACAGCACGTGTATTGTCGTCCATCCATTCATTTTCTTCCAAAAGTTCGTTAAATGCCTCTCGGATGTTGTGTATCATTGTCAACGCCTTGGAAAAGAAATCATGGCAAACATGCAGATTAATGAACGTGGCCACGTAAATTAAGAGTCTTAAGCCAATTATTTGACGCACTCGAATTAGTTACTTCTTATATCAGATTTCTCACAATTAGTGCTGATCTTATCCGAAACCAAGATTGGCTCACTTAACAAACGACTCGACATATCGCCAAACGTTCAAATGGAACCAAACGGAAGCATTGTTTGTAGGATTCTTATATTAGAAATATCTAACAAGTAATATCGACGGTATGGATCCTAATAAACAAATATTCGTTGGATGCGTATTACTGAAATAGATATATGATCAATGAAGTAATAACGACAATACGGAGAGGCGAATAGTCAAATGTCCGTGGCAACCTGCCCCTTTATTGATAAATGGGCATGTTGCCTAGAAAAACTGATAATTCGCATGTCCGTGTTGTCTTTATTACTTCGTAGGTGATATATATATATATATATGTGTGTGTGTGTGAGAGAGAGAGAGAGAGAGAGAGAGAGAGAGAGAGAGGGTGTGTGTGTGTGTGTGTGTGTGTGTGTGTGTGTGTGTGTGTGGATAATCCACTTTTATTGCTTCATATCCGCTTGTGTGCACTAATTGTACTTATTTAAATGTTATTAAGAAACCTGGTGGGAAGGGATTCGAATTAATCATTTCCTCCTAAATTTTCAAATGATGCGGAAACTTGTCTTTTTAGTCTGAACGACAAGGTGATCTCGCATTCCTACTGCAGACGAACGTAGACTCGCTCCCATAGCGTTTCGGATTACAGCGCGTTCTTTATTGATTAAAGTCAATATGTATGATATATTCTTACTTGTTACAAGGTTAAAAGATATTTCCATGTAACAATTCAATGCCTACTTACCGATTCTTTGCTCTCTTTGCGAAAGTTGTCCCTTATGAATAGCGCTCCCACTGCCATTCCTAAACGATCATTGACATACCCAACACATTTCTGCCAGCGGGGTTTATCCATTGTTATTCCCTACAGAAATGTCAAGTGATCAGTATTTACTGAGTCAATTTTCATGTAGAAGTGAGGAATATACAAAGTTGAATACTAACAGTGATACATTGGAAATCAAGTAAAGTCTGAGTTGACACATTCAATTTACACCACCCCACCTCCCCTCTCCTTCCAAAAAAATATAAATAAAAAAATGAAAGGTTTAATTCATTATTTCACATATAATTCATGTATGGTTGATATTTGTATCGGACTTTTCCATCCTTGATTACAGTTCCCAGGGACAACAGATCCATTGGCGAAACATCAATACAACGTCAGTTCCTTACCTGGAGCACCCGCCTGTAGTCACGTCTGGCTTGCTGATAATTTTCTGTCATTTCTGGAGCAAATCCCATAATAACTCTCCAAAGAATATAATTAGACAGAACTCTGTAAAGATTGGTGAGATATTACATAAAGTAGGGTATCATTAATAAATATAAAGTTTTAAAAATGTCTTGAATTATGAAACAGCTTAAAGAATTAATTTATTTTATTTCGCCTAAAATTTTGATCGGTTTTTTCATCACTCATATGTTACAAGAACGATTATTCAGGCGAATACTGTAGAAAACGACATTTCCAAAAGCTGTTATAGTCAGTTTACTATGTACACCTGATGTCACGATAGTCTATATTATAAACAAGGCATGACAACCGATAAAAATCCCCTCTCGGTTCACTTTGACTCTAGCACAATAAAGAAGAAGGTCAATTGTTTAAACTTTGCTCAAAACCTCTCCAAAGGAATGAAGTCACCACAGAGGTGATAAGGATTTTCTAAAAATAGTAACAGTGACCTAAAACTTTGAAACTCAAAGTTGTCAATGATACTGCTTATATTAATTCGAATTATGGTGCAATCTCTGAAGGAATGAAGCCCCCAGAGCGCTGACATGGATTTTTTTCATAAAAAATAGAATTGATAATCTTTGTCTTAATCATAGAACCCTGAAACTTAATTTCATCTGATAGTCCGTGAAGTATACGAAATTTGTCAAGAATTGAAACCGCTAGAACACATTGCTTTATGTAACAGTGAAATTGACCCTTTAGCCCTGAAATTCAAACTCATCCAAGCAATACCATTATTTGTTTTTCCAAGTGCGTTAAGTTTGACAAAAAAAATTCCTTCAAGGAATAAAGCCACTTGAGTGTTGCCATGGATCAGTATTACGTATGTATATATATCATCCGACATGAGTTCCAAAGGGATAAGTAATTAGCATCTAATTAGTATAGATAATGTGATAATCATGGAGATTATGTTATTTAACATACTCAAAATTGTCTGGATAACAACGTATGTAAATAGAAACTAAATCCAAGGCTAATGCTAGCAATCTTCTTCCACCATGTGACTACCTCAGAAGCAAAGGATAAATGGCCATGTAAAGAAACATTCGATGGTGAAAATGATCAGCTATCGGATAATGACGTCTCACCTTTTCTCTGTGACTTCAATGAGATCAGTAAGGGCAGATAGATATTCTGTGGCAAACGTAACAATCGGCTCTGATTCATCAAACGGGTCTTCGACAAATACGCTGAAGTAACGCATCCAGTCAAACTGTAAGACACCCACAAAACAGTGAATCTCTATCAACTTATTGTTATTGTATTCTGTTGCATTATATCATGAAGAACAATGTATTTTACCGTTGTTAATTCAGCTGATAGGATAATGCTTCATAATTAAACATCTTATAATGATTGACATTACAGAGAATGATTTAAATGATCAAACATTTTCTATTGATAGACCTTAAAGGTGAATGATTAAATGATCCTCTCAAGAAGAATTTCACATGAGAATGATTTAATTATCAAACATTTACTAAGGAACCGTGTTACAGGTAAATGCTTTGCAGATCTTCTGAGGAAGGAATTTAGAGACTTTAATGATCAAATTTCTTCTATGGAAGGACCTTTTCAGTCATCTAACATTGTACATGTTGAGGGATCCTACTTTTGATGACCGGGGTGCCTTCTTGAGGTGAAATATATACAGGGTGGTAGGAAATGCTTACACAAATATTCATGAAAAATATTTACTCTGGCTGTTTTGATACTGGGTAGGTATCGTGTTTGGCAGTGCACTGTATAGTGCTTAAAGTAACATTACCACAAAACCAGCTTTGTTGCATTATTTGAATAAAGTATTCAATACGATAAAAAAAATCTAAGGCGTGAAACTTAATCTATGAGGAGAAACTTCAATAATATAGATCGTATCAATAAAGAATTCCCTCAAATAATCAAAAATGGTAGATAGCGTGAGGGCCATGACTGGTCTAGTGGAATGAGACTATAAGTCTGTATGTATGTTTACCAATGTGGATGATATTAATATACCAAAAGGAATTATCTTACATGTTTTTGCTTTATTCTATTACGTTGATTCTATATGTCTGTCAATTATGTAAAGCATTGATTGAAACCTTCATGTCTTGATTGAAATGAAACCATTGATATACGAAACAGCACAGCATGAGTTGTGAATTGTTTGCTATCTCTAGCTATTCCCTTCGGAACACGCTCAACGCCCCGTACCTTTGGAACTCGTCTCTTCAGCTCCCTTATTGTTATTTTACTATAAAGAGCTCCAGTATCATGCCTCTCTGATTGTGGTTTTGTAACCTACAATATAACAAATGGGACAATGAAATATTTTGATGTGACGTTCTGAACTGCTGATTCTACGACGTTTTTATTGTTTCTGTCAGCGAAATGGTTATATACCATTCAATATACTACATCACACGCTATGAACATGAAATGTAATTCAATATATTTCTCCTTTTATTTTCAAATAATTTCAAAAGTAATGAAAATTGTGTTTACTTTATTGAATGTGTTACATGATATATAAATATGTGTTTGTCCAATACAACATTTCTCTGTAGAATACTGCGTGGCATGCTACCAGATGATAGGCAATTGATTTCAAAAGAAGGCTAGGCGAAGTTATGTGGTTTGATATATATCAAAATGATAAAAAAGCCGCAGGCGACTGTGAAGTCATTAATTTTCGTAAGAATTTTATTTTTCGATGGATTTCAGGTATTTGTAATATGTCCACAAATTAATTAATTTTGAAAATTCTATAACAAAAACCTTCTAGTATCAGGCTTTTATAATCTTAGGCTACATAAATCGAGGCTACAAAATTTCAGGCTACATAACCTCAAGCTACATTATCTCAGGCTACATAACCCCAGGTTTTATAATCTCAGGCTACATAACCCCAGGTTTTATAATCTCAGGCTACATAACCCCAGGTTTTATAATCTCATGTTACATAACCCCAGGTTTTATAATCTCAGGCTACATAACCCCAGGTTTTATAATCTCAGGCTACATAACCCCAGGTTTTATAATCTCAGGCTACATAACCCCAGGTTTTATAATCTCAGGCTACATAACCCCAGGTTTTATAATCTCATGTTACATAACCCCAGGTTTTATAATCTCATGTTACATAACCCCAGGTTTTATAATCTCATGTTACATAACCCCAGGTTTTATAATCTCAGGCTACATAACCCCAGGTTTTATAATCTCAGGCTACATAACCCCAGGTTTTATAATCTCAGGCTACATAACCCCAGGTTTTATAATCTCAGGCTACATAACCCCAGGTTTTATAATCTCAGGCTACATAACCCCAGGTTTTATAATCTCATGTTACATAACCACAGGTTTTATAATCTCAGGCTACATAACCCCAGGTTTTATAATCTCAGGCTACATAACCCCAGGTTTTATAATCTCAGGCTACATAACCCCAGGTTTTATAATCTCAGACTACATAACCCCCGGTTTTATAATCTCAGGCTTCATAACCCCAGGTTTTATAATCTCAGGCTACATAACCCCAGGTTTTATAATCTCAGGCTACATAACCCCAGGTTTTATAATCTCAGGCTACATAACCCCAGGTTTTATAATCTCAGGCTACATAACCCCAGGTTTTATAATCTCAGGCTACATAACCCCAGGTTTTATAATCTCAGACTACATAACCCCCGGTTTTATAATCTCAGGCTTCATAACCCCAGGTTTTATAATCTCAGGCTACATAACCCCAGGTTTTATAATCTCAGGCTACATAACCCCAGGTTTTATAATCTCAGGCTACATAACCCCAGGTTTTATAATCTCAGGCTTCATAACCCCAGGTTTTATAATCTCAGGCTACATAACCCCAGGTTTTATAATCTCAGGCTACATAACCCCAGGTTTTATAATCTCAGGCTACATAACCCCAGGTTTTATAATCTCAGGCTACATAACCCCAGGTTTTATAATCTCAGGCTACATAACCCCAGGTTTTATAATCTCATGTTACATAACCCGAGGCTTCACAGTCTCCAGTTACATAATCTGCTACATAACCCGCGACTTCACCGTCTCCAGTTACATAACCCGAGACTTCACAGTCTCCAGTTACATGATCTCCTGTTACATAACCCGAAACTTCACAGTCTCCAGTTACATGATCTCCTGTCTACATAACCCGAGACTTCACAGTCTCCAGTTACATAATCTCCTGCTACATAACCAGAGACTTCACAGTCTCCAGTTACATAATCTCCTGCTACATAACCCGAGACTTCACAGTCTCCAGTTACATAATCTCCTGCTACATAACCCGAGACTTCACAGTCTCCAGTTACATAATTTGCTACATAACCCGCAACTTCACAGTCTCCATTTACATAATCTCCTGCTACATAACCCGAGACTTCACAGTCTCCAGTTACATAACCCGAGGCTTCACAGTCTCCAGTTACATAATTTCCTGTTACATAACCCGAAACTTCACAGTCTCCAGTTACATTATCTCCTGTTACATAACCCGAAACTTCACAGTCTCCAGTTACATAATCTCCTGCTACATAACCCGAGACTTCACAGTCTCCAGTTACATAATCTCCTGCTACATAACCCGAGACTTCACAGTCTCCAGTTACATAATTTGCTACATAACCCGCAACTTCACAGTCTCCAGTTACATAATCTCCTGCTACATAACCCGAGACTTCACAGTCTCCAGTTACATAACCCGAGGCTTCACAGTCTCCAGTTACATAATTTCCTGTTACATAACCCGAAACTTCACAGTCTCCAGTTACATGATCTCCTGTTACATAACCCAAAACTTCACAGTCTCCAGTTACATAATCTCCTGCTACATAACCCGAGACGTCACGGTCTCCAGTTACATAATCCCCTGCTACATAACCCGCGACTTCACCGTCTCCAGTTACATAACCCGAGACTTCACAGTCTCCAGTTACATAATCTGCTACATAACCCGAGACTTCACAGTCTCCAGTTACATAATCTCCTGCTACATTACCCGAGACTTCACAGTCTCCAGTTACATAATCTCCTGCTACATAACCCGAGACTTCACAGTCTCCAGTTACATAACCCGAGGCTTCACAGTCTCCAGTTACATAATTTCCTGTTACATAACCCGAAACTTCACAGTCTCCAGTTACATGATCTCCTGTTAGATAACCCGAAACTTCACAGTCTCCAGTTACATGATCTCCTGTCTACATAACCCGAGACTTCACAGTATCCAGTTACATAATCTCCTGCTACATAACCCGAGACTTCACAGTCTCCAGTTACACATAACCCGAGACTTCACAGTCTCCAGTTACATAATTTGCTACATAACCCGCAACTTCACAGTCTCCAGTTACATAATCTCCTGCTACATAACCCGAGACTTCACAGTCTCCAGTTACATAATTTGCTACATAACCCACAACTTCACAGTCTCCAGTTACATAATCTCCTGCTACATAACCCACAACTTCACAGTCTCCAGTTACATAATCTCCTGCTACATAACCCGAGACTTCACAGTCTCCAGTTACATAACCCGAGGCTTCACAGTCTCCAGTTACATAACCCGAGGCTTCACAGTCTCCAGTTACATAATCTGCTACATAACCCGAGGCTTCACAGTTTCCAGTTACATAATCTCCTGCTACATTACCCGAGACTTCACGGTCTCCAGTTACATAATCCCCTGCTACATAACCCGAGGCTTCATAATCTCAGGCCATTAAATCACAGGCTACATTATCTATCCCACATTTACAAATGCACGTTTCGCACTTATTCATAATTGTTGAAAATAAAGTGGATTAATTCTGATAGTCAACTGGAGTAAATTGCAAATGTTTCATCGAATACGGTATGCGTGCGTATTTCCTCTTGTTACAGAGCTATTAAGTAATAGAGAGGCTTTTTAGAGAACCATTGCAATGTAAATAGATTATCCATTTTAATTGAGTGTAATCATCGATATGAAACAAGTTTGATATGACAGAAATAGTTTTTGGATTTTTTTTTATACTACTATCCAATTAGTTAACATTGGCCAATTTAAAGTAAACTATAGGGAAAAATAATATGAAATGGGTGTTGGGATGGTTGCACATGGATATGAATACATTCCAGATTTGATTTAGACAACATAATTACTGACAACAGTCTAACAATCCTAACTGCTGTTGCAGATATTTACATTCCGATTTTCATTTCTTCAAGGAATAAGCCTAATTAATATAGGATGATGGAACTCCGATGGGACATTCCAGCTCCTGACTTATCCGATGACCGGAACTGTACTGACAATAACTAATTATAATTATCTGGTGTTTCTATAACTCTAGGTCCCCTAGGGAACAATGGGTGTGTATAAAAGAGTCTCTCAATTTCTGCTGGTGAAGTACCACCGCCATTACAGTGCTTACATAAATAACCAATAAAACATGCATGACCAATAATTCTGTTAACAATGGTTCTATTTAAAACATATTTGTCCATAGCAGAATTGTGTTTATTACATTTTTGCCAGTAAAATATAGAAAAAAATATCTCATTGATAAAAGCGTATAAAACTTTTTAAAAAAATTTTAAAATTTTCACGAGTGCAAAAAATCAATCTTTAGCGGTTACGGTGATGAAAAGATGGTACACAAATCATCATGTAAAAATTGTCAAATCACCAAGTCTAATAGAAAAAACAGAAAACCAGACATCTGAAGGGAATGTTTCCAGTAACACGACCTTCTGTACTATGGTGAACTTTTATGAAATAACGCAACGCAAATTACCTTACCAGAGGTGTGTCGTGTGTATAACATCTTTTGTATCTTTGAAAGGTATTGAAATATTAGACACACTTTGCTATTACTGAAGATTCTATTAAATATCCTCTTTTTCTTATACGTGTTCAATTTCCAAAATTTGTTTATTTGGCATTTCTGCATTAAATTAATTTCCGGTCCGTTGTTTTGCTGCAAAAAATCTTGAATATCAACAAACTCGCTGTTAATTGACACTTTTGTAACGTAAACGAGTTCTTACCGCAAACTCTGGGCATAACGTTCGTCTTTTGAAAGAAGCCTACTTGCGATTATTACAGAATGGCATTCACATATTCAGTGTCTGACTATTGAGGATCAAATTCACTACTTTAGGATTAATAATGAATTTCCAGAGTGTGGGGCCTTTAACATTTCAGCATATACAAATATAGACGCTGTCTGTTTTTAATTTCAGAAAGAAAATCTAAAATCAGCTACAAGTGTTTTACTGGCGTTGTCATTCGGATTACGTCGTGCCATACTCATTTATTTACCTATCAACGACGTTACTTCCACTATCGGTCAATGTAAAGTTGCACACTCAAAAGTACACGTACATAAAAGTCTTTTTCTATCGATCAGCTGTTGATAATGATGATTTGACGTTGAATGTCACTGAAGAAAGTAGTAGCCGATAAGAAAGAATCTGAAAATTCTCGGACTGACAGGACAGTGGTCACCCCGGTTTGACCAACGGTAGTATCAACTAGTTCATCGTGTCATATGAATGAACTATACACGATGTATTTATTTTCAATCTCTCTATTGTGAATTTTCCATTTCTGGATAGCAAAATCCCAGAACCCTAAACTTTGGTCTTAACGTGTGCAGTTGATGCAATATTCAAGGGCCCGTTCTCAATATCATCCAATATCATGATTTGCGTATAAGAAGTCGCCAACTGACAGACAAATTCGTAACGCGATATGAAGCTGTATGTGTTTGGTGCTTGTTAGTTAACCTGTTGGTTCCGTTGTTGTATACCTTGCGCTCATTTGAGAACGTGACATTACTTACTTAGGTTAACCAAGGTTTACTTGGTAGGTGTCGCCAATGTGAACAGAAGACGCTTACTCTTCAAGAACAACTGGTCTTATTCTCCTTGTAAAGCTTTCTTTTGTTCATATTTTGCCCTAGTTTCCTTGAACTTGAGATTGGATTATGATTATGTCGACAAGCTGGTCTTCACTTGTTGTTTATCATCCATGATTATATATAATTCTTATTTGCAATGCATATCACTGTGGTACACTCTACACTGCCTACGTGTTGGCTGATATTGATACACACGTCCAAAATTAAGTACATGTTGGTAATATTTCAACTACTTTATTAAAAAGACACCATTCAAAACTTTAAAGTCTTCAGTCTATTAGTGAGATGAAAAGACGAAAATTGTACTAACGATACACAAGTGAATAGCATGATTTGATAAAATTCAGATGAGATACCGTAGAGCCAAATAATGAATTAAACTGCATCTACCACGCAAATGGACCGGCAATTATTTACCTAGAGTTGATATTCTTTGAACAAAAATACCGACCAGGCTGATGAATGTCGCAACGCATTTTCCAGTTTAATTTTTATGTGACATTGACAACAATCCCTTATAATTCTACTTATCTTGAAAAGGGCACACCCTACTTCGCTACTATGCGGCTGTCTCATTTCTCAGGATAGTATTGTGAATATACATATGTAAAATTGTCTCATCTATGCAAGATTCTCCATTCATATCATTATTATTTCCCAGGAAACTTGAATCAAGAATAAAACATGTCCTTCAAAACATTGAAACACATCCAAACCAGCTTGTTTCAAGATAAGGCATATTACAAATGATCTGTTTGCGGTTTTTGTTCAATTATCTTGACCTTTTCAGGGGTGGTGTTACCTTAACAGAGGTAGGGATTGCTTTACCTTTACCCGTGTAGGGTAGGCGTTACGTTTACACGTGTAGAGGTGGCGTGGCGTTACCTGCGCAAATGTAGGGGTGGCGCTGCCTTGAAAATAACCTGTATCAGTGTGTCATGATAGAAATCCCCCATAAACTGACGTCGCCAGAGTATTGATAAATAGTTACAATAAATAGTATCAGTTAGCATGACTTTAATCGTATAACCCTAAAACTCCGCGATAAAACGGTTCTGTATCGGTTGATGAAGTTTGATCAAAATATCCCTTGAGGCGAAGCCGCAGGGGAGTTAAGTTCTTCCTATAAATAGTAACAGTGACGTTAACATTGATCATACCGAATTGTTATTCTTTATGTGTTTGTGAAGATCGATGTAAATCATTGCAGGGTTGATGCCACCGTAGTGCTGACACGGATAGGGGTTACAATGTATTGTTGGTGATTATATATATATATGTCTTTCTTAACATTTTTCTTGAAGTGATAATCAATAGCCTGTATTGTATAGATACATAATGTCATTTTACCTAGGAACATTAATAATTACTAGTCTGTGAAAATGTTGTATAAAAATATAGTACCGGTACATATAAGTCATTAATTGTAAAACACGTAGTAAATTGTTTTAGAATCGCTCTGATGTAACCGTGATCATGTAGACTATCAAAAGAGTACTCACGTTTGCTAGTTTTGTTTCAAACATCAAAACATTGTTCATATCCTCTCGTGCACGTGCTGGGGATGCACCCAGAAGTTCGGCAAACCGTATCATATATTCAAGGTAGGCAGCTTTGTTCGACGAACTGTGGTCTGTCCAGTAATACTCCCGACTCGGCATACCAAGGGCAGGCTGGTCCAACTGTATCGATACAGAGACAAACAATTACCAACAATAAACACTTTTTATTGGAGTCGGATAGTTTTAATATTGTCACTATTTCAACACGATATGTTTTGTAGTTATAATTTTCTTGATATATTCTTGGTACCGATCTTGTGCACGGAGCTTGGTACGGCTTCCTTGTACATATGTTTTTGACAACATTGAACCTCCGTTTGTGTTCTTTGTCACTACCTTAACCATCTTTCTGTCATTTGAGCCATTGCTCCCCCTGGTGTTCATATTTGGAATTACTACTCAAATTTCATCAATCAAAATATCTCAATTTTGACCAATCAGAACGCTATGTATTTATCAAAGCATTCCCCAAGTGAGATACTACTGTTTTGATATTCTGACCTATCACCAATATGTTTTGATATGATCAGGGAAATTATTGTTCACAAGTAAAAATAAGGGATTTTATATTTGTTTATTCTTGTTTAAAAGCGTCTCCTTGTAAGCTAGAATTTCCAGGGTAGCGATCAGTAATCAGAAAATAGCCAGCGAAGTACATCCTGATTTGTGTTACTGATCCGGTCTTTCTTTCATAAATCATTGTGATGCAGTACCCCCCTTAAAATGAATTTAGGTTTCACTGTGTAGTGTTTTGTGCAAATATTTGATAACTAAACCAATAATTCATAAAGCTTTCAACATGGTTCATTCATCTTTCATATGTTTTCATACGGACGTTCGTTAAATGCATGCCTGGTTTTCTGGAGTGCATGTTTCATCATTGAAAAGATAATTTAGTTCGTCAAAACAATTGGCAGGGAATCCGTTTAGAGAGTTGAGTTAATGAAATAGTGATAAAGTAAAAAGGGCGTCAAATTATGTACTTCCTTCATAGCCTTGGAAATGTTTATTGGTGTTGCAATAATATGTCCACAGACGCTGAATTTAAACATGAATTTGATCAAGATAAGTACTAAAGAAATATTTATTCCTAAAAATGTCCAACACGAATATGACTAGCATATCCGGTAGATTAAGCGTCTTCTGCTTCATCAACGATATCAACCATATAAATATCAATTAATTCAAGTAAATAATGTCACGTTCTAAAATGAGAACAAGGTATACAACAACTGCAATAACAGGCAATCTAACGAGCTTCAACAACGTCCAGCTTCGCAAAAAAGAAGAATCTCAAGGAGATCATTACGACGACTGTAAAACAGTTTTTATCAACCTGCATCTCTCGAAACCCTGTGTATGGGTTTGTCTGTAAGTTGCCAACATCTTGCACGAAAAATTGTGATAGTGAGAACAGTCCCTATCAAATATCGAATAATCCGGGGCAAGATGTCTTAATTCTGGCGGATATGTACGACGGACATGGTCAATAATGTCCTCTTATTCAAAGACAATACGTCATCAATATATATAAAGGTGATACTGGTGGACCTCGAAAGGGCTTTTAGCATACACAAGAATTTTAACTCTGAATTCTCAAAATATAAACCTTCACCACGGCATAATATGTTAAGTCATTCAACCTGGCATTATTGTCGATATTGAGCTGTTCATCTAAATAAAACTAATGTCACAAAACCAGACGACGTTTGTCGTTAGAAACACACATTTCATCACAGCTGATGATTTGTAGGCCAATACAGTAGAATTCTGCTGTCAGTATGGAGAGGTAGATGTCTGAGGCGGTGTTATATCGTAATAATACAAGCCAATAGCAGCAAAGCTATTGTAATAAAGATCGCTTGAAGTAATGGCCTCTCTGCCATCAGGAATCTGTAGATACATTTATGTTTTATCTTGGTGTATAATAAATGTAAACATCGCTGTGTAGATCAGATATTGGGTGCTGTACTTGTGATGAAACAGTCTTCGTTATCAGCATATAAACTATTTCACACTTGCAGATGGAAAGTCAATCCGATATAACACTAAAATTTCAAAAGCAACTGTCATGTTCATTGCTGCGTTAATTGAACTCTTTTATTAAGGAGGGAGATAGGTACCAATTCACCTCATTCCTTAAGTGAAGACATTACAATAGCCTCTGACAGGTCTCCCCAGGGCCTCAGTCAATACATAGTAATCTAATTGCCTGACGGTAAGGCGACAAATATGCCGGAATCTCCCAGCACGATCTCAGCAATTTAATTAATGGTCCACTGTAGCAGGGGAGAATATTAGCCTCGAGGTGAAGGCTAGCATTCCCACGAGACAGCGGACACTGAGAGAGATTCAGCAGCTATCATTGTCTGACTTTCTGAACAACTCTCAAATGATGTTCCTGAACTTAATTACGTCTTCCGATATACTTAGCGCAGTCTGTGTGGTGACAACAGTCAGACACTGTGGGACGGTAGCCTTTAGATCGTATATGTATCGGGTTAGTTGAATGTTTGGGTTTCTTTTTACATGGTCCTCGCTTTGGTTCTTCTAATATTGACAAACTTTCATATTCCCTCTTACACTCATGTTGGTAGTGTCTCAGGTCTGTAACAGGACCATTAATGATAGGCATGATACATGTAGGAGCCTGGCCTGTTTTATGTCTATGGAGATTCAGAACGACTTTGTCACTTCGTTCCCATATCGTAATTATATGGATCTGTTCCAAAGCCATCAATGTGAAGCAGGACGTATATTCTGGACTCGACAAAAACCGAAACTAGTACCCATGTGAGGGACCTCTGTTAAATAATCTTTAAGACATGAAAAAGGCCTGTTTCCAGTAATGTTAATTCTCCATAGGAACCTGCCCCCGTATAATTTCTTATCTAGCTCAACTACTGTTTTTTTCTTTTCCGAAAAATAATTTTACACCTTTCCGACACCCAGATTTCATAATTTCAGTGAAAACGTATTTTTATAAAGTTGTCAATTTCAGCATCAAAGACATAAGTTCGGAAATAAAAGAAGGTTATCTCGAAATTGTAATTCGCAACATAGTATAAATTTCTTTTGATAAATATTTCCAAAACATCGTGTTTATTCATAAAACATCAAAAAAAATATTTTCGAATGAAAATGCACTTGCAGAGACACAATTATGAAGAAAAATGCCATAGATTTGCAATTTTCTCCCGTTATATAGTTTTGGATGCAAATTTCCACCAGAAAATCGGATAGAGCTTTACTTGTTTCATATGTGTACCAAAAATCAGCTAATTCCATGTAGTGGAACGTTCTCATATCGCCGCCTGAATGTGGTTGTAAATTGAAAGAAAAGGGGAAATGAGTAAGAACCTTGTCTGAAACCCTATTATATAGCTTATTATATACAAACTTTTATATTGATTATCAGAGCAGATATTTTCATGACAGTTTTATGATGTGTAACGACTAAATAAATAGTATCGATATAAAGATTTACACTGAGGACACCCTGATACATGAATACTGTTCTATCTCAAGCTGTCCTCTTCTGAATTTATCCGTATCTTCTTGTCTTTGTCTATACGTTTACGAAATCATTCACTCGACGCTAGCTATTCTTGTCTCAATTTCCTTGTTTTATTGTCCCATCTCCAAAGCGTTGTGGCTCTGTCAGGGTCGGGACCCTGACTTGTCTCACTTTCTTTGTGCCTGCCGACAACGCCACATCGAATAGATAGATTATCCATATGAAATACTTTATTTTGTTCGAAGAAATCAATCAATTCTGCGCTTCTTGGAGGTATTGAATGTGATTTATTATATTGTCTTGTTATTTTGTGTAATTAGTTGTTCGTTATTTATCATACATTTTCGCATAATTGTATCAAACTACTAAGTATTAGCTGTTTACAGCAATCATCGGTGGCTTGCTATTTTGTTACTATATCGACGCTTCATAAACCAATCGTTATTGTTTCAAGATGGAGGGTAAATGTGTTGGAGAAGAGTGTCAAGTATACTTCAAGAAACGTAGTGGCAATAAGAACAGAAGTGCATGCAATGTAAATAGTCCACAATATAAATGGATCCTAGATACGCTGGTGCAACAAGGATTGATGTCAGCAAAGGAACAAGCATTTATTTGCCAGAAGTGCTACATGAAGTATCTTCGGAACAAAAATCAGCCTGAACCTCAACCCGAGCAGAACCAGGAAATAGAGGAAGAAGACGACTCCCCGTCCCATATCCTGACGTTGCTGACCCTTCATGATCTTTTGAATGGATCATCTTCACACAAAAAATGCTGTCTCTGTCTTGTTACCTTTCCAAAAAATGGAACAAAATCATCAGTCTTACCGAAACGTGCAAGACATCACCTGATCTATTCACACAAACTGTGGTGTCCCACCTCATCCCGCGACTGCTCCATTCACCTTATTGGTAACAACTTAGATCCGTCTACAGAGGTTGTCCTTGATGGTAGAGGTTCCTTGGAATCACAGTTACCATCAAAATCGTCCGAAATCATTAATGACCTCCTAGAGGTGTCGCACGTCCTTTCACAGAACCAGTCTGCGTTTACAATAAGCTTTTCTTCTCTTGATGACTCGGCATGCATGGCCTGGACAGGTTGGACCTGAGATCAGTTCGTTCCTCGAAATCCACTCGCACTGTTCCCCATATCTTTCATCTGGTATATATACCAAGACTACACGCGATGCTCTATTACTGTTCTGGGTAAAACTGAAAACCGATATTTCCTGGAGTCAGTGTTCTTCTCTTTTTGGATTTTCCAAGTCAAGTGTGTCCAAAACTTTCCACTCCATAGTACAGGCATTAGACACATCGATAGTCCCACAATTTCTAGGTCCGGATCACTTGACAAGAGAACAATTGCTCGGGCACAATACTGTCTTTTCAGAAGCATTTTTTGGAGATAAAGCCACTGCCATATTAGATGGCACCTATATTTATATCCAGAAAAGCTCCGACCACAAGCTCCAGAGAATGTCCTACTGTGTCCAGAAGAAGAGAAACTATGTCAAATTCATGAGCATCGCCTTACCAGATGGCTACATTCTGGACACCGTAGGACCATTCACTGGCAGCGAAAATTATGCTACAATTACAAAAAAAGTCATGGACAAGCTAGTTACTTGGCTACAACCAGACGACAACGTTGTCGTTGACCGAGGTTTTAGAGATGTCCTACCAGTTCTCGAAGCCTCTGGCCTCAATGCTAGCATGCCGTCATACCTGAAACCAGGTCAAAGTCAACATTCTGACGTCCAAGCAAATCTTGACGGAACTATCACCAAATCGAGGTGGATTGTGGAATCCTATCATGGTCGTCTGAAACACTGGACGTTCTTCCGAACGCAATTGGTGTCTAACAGCTTTATCAATGTCATTGAGGTTTTGCTTCGAACCGTCACAGCCCGTCTGAATGGTATTAAAGGACCGATCTACCAGAGATCTCCAGAGAGAGATGCCAAAGATAGGCTAATGGCTGAACGTATGAAGGACCGTTTGACAACACCGAATGGTTTAGCTCAGAGAGTTAAGATAGATCCGGATCTATCTAGACGGGCAAGGTCCGAATTTGTCAAGATGGATGCATCTTCCGTACTGTTTCCCCGTCTCGATCTTGATTACTTGAGAACCATTACGTGTGGAACGTATAAGATATCTCTGACTCCTTGTTACATCGCCGAACATTTAAGTGATGACGGAGACTATGAGGTGTGGCTTTACCAGCACTCCCCAGACCTTCTCCGATGTCAAATACATTCTCGACACAAAAGCCAAACGAAATATAACGTTTGGATACGGTTCACCGTTTCACCCGATGTTGAGGCCCCAAGAAAGGACTACTACTGCCAGTGCCCAGTTGGAGAGAGAACGATGGGAATGTGTACGCACATCTCCAGTATCTTGTACTACCTTAGGTATTACAGGACGCTGGAAAACCCTCGACCATTAAAACCACAGGTAAAGAAATTCCGACAAAACTTGAAATAGTTTTCCATGCGGCAACGGAGTGCATATGTCGAAAGTATGTTTGGGGCTCGATCTGAAAGATCCCCGTTACCATGTGACTAACCAAACTTATAAATATAGGTATTATACCATCGCCCGTAGCTATGAACACTCCCGTAAATGCGAAAACCAACCAAAATCATAAGGAACACGTTTTGTTTGTTGTTCTGTCTATTTGTCAGCCAATGTCTTCAACCACGGGGACTTGTGAAGTAGCCATCTTGGATTTTTTTATGAAAAAGTGTTTCTCTCACTTTTTTTCATATCTGTGTACATATTCTCAACATACCGAGCAAATACTCTCGTTTTTTTTTTCTTAATTATCTAAAGAAAGTCGAAAATCGGCAATTCAACTATAGGCTAATTCAACCCAATATTTGAAAATATTCCACCACTTACATTTTGATGATTTTTCCTCTCATCAATAGCATATTACGAACTATTTAATAGGATAAAAATTGGTTTGCATCCAACGCCCATAAAAGGGTGTATTCTCTAAAAAAACACAGTTTTTGTGTCTAAAATGTTATCATCGGAAATGGCATTTTTGAAATTGTTTCTTCCATAAAACAGCCAAATGGCGCGATGGAAACATGATTTTTTGTCACAATCATGCCATGAATGTATTATTTACGTTGACTATCATTTGATTAGATTTTCATTAATATTTTTCATAACATGCACATTTTATCAACACTTAGCTTCTGAAAGGTACAACTTTGAGGAGCCATAAAAACAAACCAAGTGACCTAAATCTTTATACTTTATAGATTTGTGTCCACAACGGCATGGGCAATGCACCATCAACAGGAAATTTGAATCAGAGAAGGGGCCGTTTTGGAAACCGGCCCTTTGAGCATGATCGTTGCCTCTTTAATTTTTCAGAAGTTGTAAAATATGACCCTTGACCCTTTAACCTTGACATATGGTGACCAATCATTTGAATAGGTGAATACTTGATGTGACGGTATTATGAACTGAAAAGAAACCAAATATGTCGAAAGGTTATTAAAATCTGATACTTTGGCTAATCGGGACGTGATTCCACTAGACGAAATATGATGTCATAGGACGGGGCGGGCATGTGTAACATCAAATGTCCTCCTCCTAAATAATTACTGTGGAATATCTAGTCCCCCTCCTAAATAATTACTGTGGAATATCTAGTCCCCCTCCTAAATAATTACTGTGGAATATCTAGTCCCCCTCCTAAATAATTACTGTGGAATATCTAGTCTATCTCCTATCTCCTAATTATAACTGTGGAATCTCCCCCCTCCTAAATAATTACTGTGGAATATCTAGTCCTCCCTGTGGAATCTCTAATCCCCCTCCTAAATAATTACTGTGGAATATCTAGTCCCCCTCCTAAATAATTACTGTGGAATATCTAGTCCCCCTCCTAAATAATTACTGTGGAATATCTAGTCCCCCTCCTAAATAATTACTGTGGAATCTCTAGTCTATCTCCGTAATTATAACTGTGGAATCTCTAATCCCCCTCCTAAATAATTACTGTGGAATATCTAATCCCCCTCCTAAATAATTACTGTGGAATATCTAGTCCCCCGCCTAAATAATTACTGTGGAATCTCTAGTCCCCCTCCTAAATAATTACTGTGGAATATCTAGTCCCCCCTCCCCTCCTAAATGATTACTGTGGAATAAATAATTACTGTGGAGTCCCCCTCCTAAATAATTACTGTGGAATATCTAATCCCCCTCCTAAATAATTACTGTGGAATATCTAATCCCCCTCCTAAATAATTACTGTGGAATATCTAGTCCCCCTCCTAAATAATTACTGTGGAATATCTAGTCCCCCTCCTAAATAATTACTGTGGAATATCTAGTCCCCCTCCTAAATAATTACTGTGGAATATCTAGTCCCCCTCCTAAATAATTACTGTGGAATATCTAATCCCCCTCCTAAATAATTACTGTGGAATATCTAGTCCCCCTCCTAAATAATTACTGTGGATAATATCTAGTCCCCCTCCTAAATAATTACTGTGGAATATCTAGTCCCCCTCCTAAATAATTACTGTGGAATATCTAGTCCCCCTCCTAAATAATTACTGTGGAATCCCCTCCTAAATAATTACTGTCCCCCTCCTAAATAATTACTGTGGAATATCTAGTCCCCCTCCTAAATAATTACTGTGGAATATCTAATCCCCCTCCTAAATAATTACTGTGGAATATCTAATCCCCCTCCTAAATAATTACTGTGGAATATCTAGTCCCCCTCCTAAATAATTACTGTGGAATATCTAATCCCCCTCCTAAATAATTACTGTGGAATATCTAGTCCCCCTCCTAAATAATTACTGTGGAATCTCTAGTCTATCTCCGTAATTATAACTGTGAGATCTCTAATCCCCCTCCTAAATAATTACTGTGGAATCTCTAGTCTATCTCCGTAATTATAACTGTGGAATCTCTAATCCCCCTCCTTAATAATTACTGTGGAATATCTGGTCCCCCTCCTAAATAATTACTGTGGAATCTCTAATCCCCCTCCTAAATAATTACTGTGGAATATCTAGTCCCCCTCCTAAATAATTACTGTGGAATATCTAATCCCCCTCCTAAATAATTACTGTGGAATATCTAATCCCCCTCCTAAATAATTACTGTGGAATATCTAATCCCCCTCCTAAATAATTACTGTGATAACTCTAGTCCCCCTCCTAAATAATTACTGTGGAATATCTAATCCCCCTCCTAAATAATTACTGTGGAATATCTAGTCCCCCTCCTAAATAATTACTGTGGAATATCTAATCCCCCTCCTAAATAATTACTGTGGAATATCTAATCCCCCTCCTAAATAATTACTGTGGAATATCTAATCCCCCTCCTAAATAATTACTGTGGAATCTCTAGTCCCCCTCTATTTTCAATAGGGCATCTCCAGTCAACTACCTATACTGTGGGATGTCTAATCTCCTTGTAAACTATTTCATGTATAACATATTAAGCCGTTTCATTTTCATTTCCTGGTGTGGTATTACTGTGATTAACATTAACATTGATGATCTCTTCGATGAAGCGTAAGATTCGTACCTTACCGGAGCACATGTCAGTATTATTCCGATACGTTTCCATGGTTTCCAAGTAAATTTTATACAGTGGGGCATCATTTTGTTTTTGAAGCATGATATAAGGTAACACATTACACGTAGTTTTAATACTCAGGTGTGTTCGCTTATCATGGATTAGAAAAGCTACCATCATGTTCATACCTGTATGATATTATCATGCCCATACCTGTATGATATTGTCATGATGCCCAAACCTGTATGATATTGTCATGTCCATACCTGTATGATATTATCATGCCCTCACCTGTTTGATATTGCCATGTCCATACCTGTATGATGTTGTCATGTCCATACATGTATGATATTGTCATGATGCCCATACCTGTATGATATTGTCATGCCCATACCTGTATGATATTGTCATGCCCATACCCCTATGATATTATCATGTCCATACCTGAACGATATTGTCATGCGCATAACTGTATGATATTGTCATGTCCATACATGTATGATATTATCATGCCCATACCTGTATGATATTGTCATGCCCATACCTGTATGCTATTGTCATGCCCATACCTGTATGATATTTTCATGTCCATACCTGTATGATATTATCATGTCCATACCTGAACGATATTGTCATGTCCATACTTGTATGATATTGTCATGTCCATACCTGTATGATATTATCATGCCCATACCTGTATGATGTTCATTGACGAGTTTTTATCATCCGCTCCGACCCAACAGTCGATGAGTATAGGCGCATTGTAAACACCACGCATCTTCGCCAGCACTTCCTCCAGGTAAAAATCACTGGCTGACCATTGGTCATCAACAACTGGCCATCGTCCTAGATCTTTCAGTACCCGTCTTAGTGGACGGTCTCCAACTGACTCTATCATAGCTGTACAGACGAAAAGACAGACATTATTAAATTTGAAACCGAAATACGATTTTAATAATTTCCGATAAAAATAACCTAAAATAGATGACAAAATGTAAAATTAATTCCTTATGGCCTCCAGAAGAAGAAAAGACGTAGCTCTGGTCAGCGACTGAATCTATAGACAATCCCAAGTATAATTGGATTATCGATTATAACTAATAAGTTTTTTTTAGTATATCTGAACGTAAAAGCTGCATATTATCTTCTGTATTTCCACCTATTTTGATTCCACTAACTATCCTTGCATATTTGCACACTTTTCGACCCCGACATCAGTGAAGAAATCTTGGCGGTCGAAACAGTTGTAAAATGCAGTTTCCTTCGTTATTAGGTACATAATGTATAATACTATATTCAGAAAGATGCAGGTGATTAGTGTGGTAATTGTTCATTAAAGTATTGTTGTCGTCATTACGGTTATCTATATGACGATAAACATCTCTTAAAAGACACAATATTATTGATCACCACCTTAATAATGATAATACAGAATATTGAGAGTCGAAATCAATAAAAAAAGAGAAAAAAGGCAAAAATAAACAAAAACAAACAATGGTATTATGCACATGTTAATGGTACACGTTGCAAGACGATAAACAACATTGCGAGTTGAAATTTAAACAACAAAAAGAAAAACAATGGTGACATTTTGATGATACATATTCAATGGTTATACAGAATACTGAGTATCGTAACTAAAAAAAACAAACAAACAAAAACAAAACAAAAGACAAAGATAAATAAATAAAAACAAACAATTGTTACATATTTACATATTCCCCAATGTTTCAAATTGTATTTTTTATAGTAATGAAGTTAAATTTCATCTTCTGACCTATTGAAAGGAATATGTTATTATTTGTCACTGTTTACCATATACAATATCTTGTTTATCAGTGATATGATTAGTAAAACCTTCAACTTTATTTGTCGGCTTCACCGTTATAACAGGTTATAGCCGTGATTGGTCACTCAGTAATATTAGAATTTCTGCACTTTGTATACCATATAACATCCCCTGTGTGTTAGTTATATAGCTATAATTTCTATAAATACCACAAGTTAATTAACAGTGACTAGCGATCGAATTCTGAAAGGTTTAAAATCTTGATAGGGACACAAATCTTCATTAAAACACATTTTAATCATATGACGTCATCTATTGATCATTATAACTCGTATTAAGCCACAGTGTATTGATCGTTAAGTCGCCCTTTAACTAGGTTATGGTTGATTTATCAGAAATTTTACCTTCCAGTAGAACTTACAAACTCACTGAGAAAGACAAACGTGTATGGTAAATGTACTTCTCAGTACAAATTTAGAAAAGAGCCGTTTTATCTTTTTAGAACCTGTCAGTGATGCTGGCGTCAAATAATGAAATAGACATCATCGCACAGCTGATGTTTTTCCTTCTAAAACATGCTTCGGTGTAATATTTAACTAAATTTTCATCATACAGCTATTTTGTCCTTTTGAAACTTGTTAGTGATAATGAGATCTAATAGTCGACTAGACTTCATATTTTGTCCTAAAACTCGTCGGTGATGCTTGAGTCTAATAAGGAACTAAACTTCATCCTGCAGATATTTTGTCCTTCTAGGACTTTTGGACTTTTCAGCGATTTAGGGGTCTACTAATGAACTAACATTTATCCTACAGCTATTTTGTCCTTCTGCAACTTGTCAGTGACACATGGATCTAATATTGGACTAAATTTCATCATACAGCTATTTTGTCCTTTTGAAACTTTTCAGCGATACTTGGATATAATAATGGACTAAATTTCATCATACAGATATTTTGTCCTTTTGAAACTTGTCGGTGATGCTTGGGTCTAATAATGAACTATGCTTCCCCCTGAAACTTGTCAATGATGCTGGGGTTAAATAATGGACTTCATGATACGCCTATTTTGTCCTGAAACTTGTCGGTGATGCTGCGGTCAAACAATGAACATCCTCAATGACCTTCCAGTGACGTTATGGGTGTAAAGTGTTGTAACCCACGGGACTACAGTTATCACATTTGTTATTAGATAAGAAGATAGCAGCAATGTGTCTATTCTAATCCATAGCCATCGTCATCATCCAGTCACTACTAAGTGCATGCTTCAATCCAGTTTATCCAGCCAGCAGCACTGAAACAACACCGAGGCAGCTACACAAACTGTGCTACATGTACACTATGAGCAATTGTCGTGTGGTTTACAGACTGTTTGGCGTGCACAATCATACAACTCTTAAATTTCAATAAAGAAAAAACTTGTTGAATATATACGATCGCTGATCTTGGCTGCCTTACTTTACTTTTGCATTCGACGTGCATTGTGCTGTTATACCGCCGCTTAATAGACACAACAAGAGATTCCGAAGGGATCTTGGCACCAATCATTGAATGGTGCTTTATTGGTTCTTTGCAAGACTATTTATTCTTTACTTTTCACTTAACACTTAAGGCATACCTTGGGACAATGAGTAACTTACATATACTACACATATATAATATAGCAAGGACGAGTAAGGATGATGATATCGGCCCAGACAGTGATGAGGGTAAGGACTGTAATACCGGCTCCAGGTAGCAAAGAGAGTAAGGATGGTGATATTAGCCTTAGACAGCGAGGAGGGTAAGGACGGTGATTTCGTCCCTAGATAGCGGGGAGGGTAAGGACGGTGATTTCGTCCCTAGATAGCGAGGAGGGTAAGGACGGTGATATCGGCCAGAGGTGAAGAGGAGGATAAGGTCTGTAAAACCTGCTACAGATAGCGAGGGGAGTAAGGACGGTAATATCAGCTCCAGATAGCGAGGAGGGTAAGGAGTGTAATATCAGCTCCAGATAGCGAGGAGCGTAAGAAGTGTGATATCAGCTCCAGATAGCGTGAAGGGTAAGGAGTGTAATATCAGCTCCAGATAGCGAGGAGGGTAAGGAGTGTAATATCAGCTCCAGATAGCGAGGAGGGTAAGGAGTGTAATATCAGCTCCAGATAGCGAGGAGGGTAAGGAGTGTAATATCAGCTCCAGATAGCGAGGAGGGTAAGGACGGTGATATTGGCCCCAGATAGCGAGGAGGTTAAGGACGGTGATATTGGCCCTAGATAGCGAGGAGGGTAAGGAGTGTAATATCAGCTCCAGATAGCGAGGAGGGTAAGGAATGTAATATCAGCTCCAGATAGCGAGGAGGGTAAGGAGTGTAATATCAGCTCCAGATAGCGAGGAGGGTAAGGAGTGTAATATCAGCTCCAGATAGCGAGGAGGGTAAGGAGTGTAATATCAGCTCCAGATAGCGAGGAGGGTAAGGACGGTGATATTGGCCCCAGATAGCGAGGAGGGTAAGGACGGTGATATTGGCCCTAGATAGCGAGGAGGGTAAGGAGTGTAATATCAGCTCCAGATAGCGAGGAGGGTAAGGAATGTAATATCAGCTCCAGATAGCGAGGAGGGTAAGGACGGTGATATTGGCCCCAGATAGCGAGGAGGGTAAGGACGGTGATATTGGCCCGAGATAGCGAGGAGGGTAAGGAGTGTAATATCAGCTCCAGATAGCGGTGATATTGGCCCCAGATAGCGAGGAGGGTAAGGACGGTGATATTGGCCCTAGATAGCGAGGAGGGTAAGGAGTGTAATATCAGCTCCAGATAGCGAGGAGGGTAAGGAATGTAATATCAGCTCCAGATAGCGAGGAGGGTAAGGAGTGTAATATCAGCTCCAGATAGCGAGAAGGGTAAGGAGTGTAATATCAGCTCCAGATAGCGAGGAGGGTAAGGAGTGTAATATCAGCTCCAGATAGGGAGGAGGGTAAGGAGTGTAATATCAGCTCCAGATAGCGAGCAGGGTAAGGACGGTGATATTGGCCCTAGATAGCCAGGAGGGTAAGGACGGTGATATTGGCCCTAGATAGCGAGGAGGGTAAGGACGGTGATATTGGCCCTAGATAGCGAGGAGGGTAAGGACGGTGATATTGGCCCTAGATAGCGAGGAGGGTAAGGACGGTGATATTGGCCCTAGATAGCGAGGAGAGTAAGGACGGTGATATCGGTTATCCAAGAGCGAGGATGATAAGGTCGTTGACATCAGTCATCGGGTCAAATGATCGACATTAATGTTTCATGTTTAGAGAAAACACAGATCTATTGTGACGTCATTCAACTCATCAATTCTATGGATAATTTGTGGGTATTAATTTCACAGTGAATTCTATCTACGAAGCAAAACTTGTGTGAAACTTTTGCCGTAAGAATGACGGAAAACACACAGATTAGAAGATTTATTGACCTAGTTATATACCTGTGTTATTGTGATAAAACGCTAGCTACATCCAGATTATGTTCTGTTTGGCGTGCGTCATCTCAACAACACCATTAAATCGATGTAAAATCGAGATCTTAATAATGATACTTATTGGATTTTAAGTGGCCATAATGATCTGTGATCACCAGACTGATTGTTGTTAGACTACTAAACAAAATTAATATCCATTTAATCGAAGATAATTTGATATCATCAACTAATGCTTCCATTCCGTCCGCACATTTGTAGCGCGAGACGAAGAGTTTAAGCATGTTGATTGATGAAGCCTATGATTATAATGCTTTTAAACAGACACCACACGCATGATTTCAACGCATTTCACCGGCTAGTTTTTACATATTAGACATACAATCTTCGTTTATTTCTGAATAGTATGAAGTGAGAAAAATCGATTAAAAAACACCAAAGTGTTAGATAATACTAGTCGTTTTCACAAAAAAACAAGAGAAAATATTTTTGAACTTGACCTTTCTTTCCATGTTAGTTACAAGCAGCTAGATATTAAAACAAAACAATTTTTAAATGCAAGAAAAAAAAGACATTGCTGTTGATATTTCTAATTTTGTAGTAACGTTTGACATCACTGAGTAAGATACTTTTAAATATAAACAAACAATTCACAATGTCATCTCATACTGAAGGAAATGACATCATTGATAACAAATTCCATACCTGCTCATATGTCTGTGTCTGCAGTGGGTATATACTACTGAGCAGAAACTGTCGGTACGTTACAACAAAATTATATAGAGAATACATGGTCAGTGTCTTAAAATATAAGGATGAAGAAAGAACAGTGGCTCGGTCCGAGCTAAACTACTGCTTGTCTTATATTTTAAGACACTGACCATGAATTCTATTTATCCTGCAACATTGACTGAAAATCAGACTATTGAAACTTAAACAGTTTTGTTGGATAATCTGTGTTTACCTGACGTTACCCTGAATTTTGCCCGATGACGGACGCCAAAGTAATTCCTCCGCACCGAAACATAGTCCCAAACTTCATCGGATAGAACAGCGATTTTATGAATTTTCATTGATCAAGTTGTTCATTACAGCATGTAAAATCGCTTATTTCAACAACTATTTATATTTCTAAACGTAATATTTAAGTAAAACGTACAGCTGTTTTCTGTCACTGGCGAATACAGCACAAAATATGTGTGGCAGTTGCATTCCGACAATGGCAATGCCAGTTGCAGGATAACTCATAAATCACCTTTTCGCGAAGCCAGAAAGGCCTGACAAGAGATTAAAAACATGCCATTAGGATACTCACACACGTTGATACAGGACTTGTAGAGAACTTTTACTTTCTTGGTAGCTTGGCTATCATCCAAGCCTACTTCTTCTTCAAGTAAACCTATAATGATATATGTTGTACATCATGTATTATATTCATTTGTTGCAGCAATGGTTAAGGTGAGGGATATAAGCATGGTTATGAATTATCATATCTATTCCAGCGCTCATCTCTCACAATATCTGGCGAAACTTAATATTTCTTCCTTTGATATGTTTTTCTTTGTTTTTGTTTTTGTTTATTTTTTTTTCTACGAAAATTGAGTGATTTTTACATCAATATTTTATTTATCTTTTAAAGAGAGAATAACAAATTGCACCGCTCTCTGTTTCTTTAGAAAACAAAATAAGAATAGTAAGGTTGAGTATGTTATAAAGCCGATATAATGCAGCGATATATACATGACATTTGACCCCTGGATAAAGGGAGATAAGTATAGACATGACACCAAAAATTTTTTTTAAAAAAAATTAAAAAAAAAAAAAAAAAACATTTTGTTTGTCAGCTCTCATTTTAACTTTTTTTTACCACCTAATAAACGCACAAATACCTGCAACTTGCTATAATGTTAGTTTACGTTAAAATTTACGACGTGTATGTCGTTTTGGTGTTTTATTTTGCTAAGTTGGCGGGGAGGGGTGTTAACTATTGGTGAACTACATGTGGAAATGCAAAGTAGTTTGCATTCTTGTCAATGAATTTACTATATTTAATGCAAGGTTATCAAATCCAACATTTATAGCTCTGGTCTAAACATCATATCATCTCATTCCTTACTTCAGCTGTGGTCTATATAAATATACATTACAAGTATACCTTCAACTGTGCTGAAGATACCAAATACATCACATTTATCTCAACTCTAGGTGATATCGTTGAGATCTGAAACCTTCCGATAAATAAATCAATCGGAACTCAGCGACTTTGTACAAACGACAGACAATATCTTACCCTTGAGGGTTATCTGAAGGTCATCGTGAAGCTTCTCAAATGTGTTAAAGCTGGATTTGTCGTCTGGAATGATATTTTTACGGTTCCAATTGCCGCAGGCGTATTGAAAAAAATCCTCACATGGATCAACGGAGAGGTCCATAGCTTCCAGTAACATGGCCGCTAGATGAATAAAAAATTGTGTATCAAAAATAAATAAAAATAGACGGCATTTTTTATTTTATTTAAACAAGAGGCCAAAAATGCCTTAATGGTCACGTGGGTTACAATGCCCGTGTTGTAGTTGTAACATGACATAGAAATTATCATGTCGTAAACTGTCTCACTCGTAATACAAGGGTTCAAAAGATGCAGACTGGTGAAAATTATGGGGAAGTTGTATGGTCGTCATAGTGATCTCAGTGAGAAATTTTCTATTTCTTTGTGTGATATGAAGCTAGACGTGGTTAATGGTAGTTAGTTTCCCGGTTGGTTCCGTTGTTTTTTTACCTTGTTCTCATTTGAGAACGTGACATTACTTACTTGGATGAATCAAGTTTTACATGGCGCATTTCGTCGATGAAGCAGAAAAAAACTCTTCCAGAACACCTGGTCTTATTCTCTTATTCTCATTGTACTTTTTACAAGAGTCTCCGTGTTCATTTGCTTATATTTTGCACTGGTTTTATGGAATATGAGTTTGGATTATGATTGTGTTGAAATGTTGTTATTTTCTTGATGTTTCTTATTCACAAAGTATAATTTGAACTATGTTGTACATGTGATGTAAATATAAACTATGTATAGCATTTACTGGAATCATCTGTTAACAATTCTGACCATGTCTTAATTAACCGAAAATAAACATAAAAATGTATTATTATTATATAAACTACCATCGAACCGCGTTACCTCGAACCTGTATGACTCGAAGACCACGTTTATTTCGAAGTATTTTGCCGGTCCCTGCCTAACTTTGCACAAACATTTGAACTCACTTAAACTCAGTACTCGCTCTCGAAGTTTTCCCGTGGTCCCGCTGAGTTCAAGATAACGATATTCGACCGTATAGTAATATCCCTCCACCTGACCCTGAGGTCATGTCACTCACAATTTCGGTTCGTCAACTTACGACTCTTGCAATCATAAAGAGTATTTGATTCCACTAATCTGGATGATAAAAGATTTTCTTTGAATTTGTGTCAATCTGATCGCTTATGACTCCGCCCATCAGTCCCTGCAGGATCATCCAGGATCAATATGTGCATACCGTCAAACCGTTATCATATACTAAATAAATTCTGACACGTTATAACAAGACATTACCAGTAAAAAACTATAACTTTGATCTGGCGACTTTGAAGAAGACTTTGTTTTTGGTTGTGGTCATTTTTGCTTTACAATGTCATAACAAAATATAAACCTGTAAAATTCTTAAAAGTTGACCTTCACCTTTGACCTCGTGAGCCTGACAATTTCCTCCAATATGCCAGAAAAGAATATTAACCAGTAACATATTAATTATGTATTTTGACAGTAGATTTCCGGTTTTATTTCAAGTAAGAACAACCTCGCCCTGGAACTAAGGAACACTTTATACCTGTATAGCACATCGAAACATTACAGTGTATTATAGAGTTAAATTTCCTCTAATTTGGCATTCTGAATTCTGATATAATTTATAATGTATTCTAATGTATGGTGAGTCAGTGAAATTCAACATAATTTACTGGAGGTAGTGTCTTTAATGTCGGAATGAATGCAATTTTGGTGACAGACATCAAGGCGTCTACAAATTAAATTTAAAAGATTATTTTCAGCTCGATCTGACACCGACATGACGTCATACTATTGAAGTAACTCAAATAAATATATTCCAGTTAAATATTTGATTATTGATGATCAAAATGAAAATTACAAATATATAAACGAAACGAACAAATTTTTTATAACACTACTGATGCCGATATATTCTGTTCGGATTTATATTTATGTCTGTGTTATGTAGACAGATGTCTACTTGTGTCTGTTTTATGTAGACAGATGTGTACTTGTGTCTGTGATATGTAGACAGATGTGTACTTGTGTCTGTGTTATATAGACAGATGTATACACGTGTCTTCGTTATGTAGACAGATGTGTACATGTGTCTGTGTTATGTAGACAGATGTGTACATGTGTCTGTGTTATATAGACAGATGTATACATGTGTCTGTGTTATGTAGTCAGGTGTATACATGTGTTTGTGTTATGTAGACAGATGTATACACGTGTCTGTGTTATGTAGACAGATGTATACATGTGTCTGTGTTATGTAGACAGATGTATACACGTGTCTGTGTTATGTAGACAGATGTATACATGTGTCTGTGTTATGTAGACAGATGTATACATGTGTTTGTGTTATGTAGTCAGATGTATACATGTGCCTGTGTTATGTAGACAGATGTATACATGTGTCTGTGTTTTGTAGTCAGATGTATACTTGTGTCTGTGTTATGTAGTCAGATGTATACATGTGCCTGTGTTATGTAGACAGATGTATAAATGTGTTTGTGTTTTGTAGTCAGATGTATACTTGTGTCTGTGTTTTGTAGTCAGATGTATACTTGTGTCTGTGTTATGTAGACAGATGTATATATGTGTCTGTGTTATATAGACAGATGTATACATGTGTCTTTGTTATGTAGACAGATGTATTTATGTGTCTGTGTTATATAGACAGATGTATACACGTGTCTTTGTTATGTAGACAGATGGGTACTTGTGTCTGTGTTATGTAGACAGATGAATACACGTGTCTTTGTAATGTAGACAGATGTATACATGTGTCTGTGTTATGTAGTCAGATGTATACACGTGTCTGTGTTATGTAGACAGATGTATACACGTGTCTGTGTTATGAAGTCAGATGTATACACGTGTCTGTGTTATGTAGACAGATGTATACACGTGTCTGTGTTATGTAGTCAGGTGTATATATGTGTTTGTGTTATGTAGACAGATGTATACATGTGTCTGTGTTATGTAGTCAGGTGTATACATGTGTTTGTGTTATGTAGTCAGATGAATACTTGTCTGTGTTATGTAGACAGATGTATACATGTGCCTGTGTTATGTAGACAGATGTATACATGTGTCTGTGTTTTGTAGTCAGATGAATGCTTGTCTGTGTTATGTAGACAGATGTATACACGTGTCTGTGTTATGTAGACAGATGTATACATGTGTTTGTGTTATGTAGTGAGATGTATACATGTGCCTGTGTTATGTAGACAGATGTATACATGTGTCTGTGTTATGTAGTCAGGTGTATACATGTGTCTGTGTTATGTAGACAGATGTATACTTGTGTCTGTGTTATGTAGACAGATGTATACATGTGTTTGTGTTATGTAGTCAGATGAATACTTGTCTGTGTTATGTAGACAGATGTATACATGTGCCTGTGTTATGTAGACAGATGTATACATGTGTCTGTGTTTTGTAGTCAGATGAATACTTGTCTGTGTTATGTAGACAGATGTATACACGTGTCTGTGTTATGTAGATAGATGTATACATGTGTCTGTGTTATGTAGTGAGATGTATACATGTGTCTGTGTTATGTAGACAGATGTATACTTGTGTCTGTGTTATGTATACAGATGTATACTTGTCTGTGTTATGTAGACATATGTATATATGTGTCTGTGTTATATAGACAGATGTATACACGTGTCTTTGTTATGTAGACAGATGGGTACTTGTGTCTGTGTTATGTAGACAGATGAATACACGTGTCTGTGTTAAGTAGACAGGTGTATACATGTGTCTGTGTTATGTAGGCAGATGTATACATGTGTCTGTGTTATGTTGTCATATGTATACACGTGTCTGTGTAATGTAGACAGACGTATACACGTGTCTGTGTTATGTAGACAGATGTATACACGTGTTTGTGTTATTTAGTCTGTGTATACTCGTGTCTCTGTTTTGTGGTCAGATGAATACTTGTCTGTGTTATGTAGACAGATGTATACCTGTGTCTCTGTTTTGTAGACAGATGTATACATGTGTCTGTGTTATGTAGACAGATGTATACATGTGTCTGTGTTATGTAGTCAGTGTATACACGTGTCTGTGTAATGTAGACAGATGTACACATGTGTCTGTGTTATGTAGTCAGTGTATACTCGTGTCTTTGTTATGTAGACAGATGTATACATGTGTCTGTGTTATGTAGTCAGTGTATACACGTGTCTGTGTAATGTAGACAGATGTATACACGTGTCTGTGTTATGTAGACAGATGTATACTTGTGTCTCTGTTTTGTAGACAGATGTATACATGTTTCTGTGTTATGTAGTCAGTGTATACTTGTGTCTTTGTTATGTAGACAGATGTATACACGTGTCTGTGTTATGTAGACAGATGTATACACGTGTTTGTGTTATTTAGTCTGTGTATACTCGTGTCTCTGTTTTGTGGTCAGATGAATACTTGTCTGTGCTATGTAGACAGATGTATATATGTGTCTGTGTTATGTAGACAGATGTATACCTGTGTCTCTGTTTTGTAGACAGATGTATACATGTGTCTGTGTTATGTAGACAGATGTATACATGTGTCTGTGTTATGTAGTCAGTGTATACACGTGTCTGTGTAATGTAGACAGATGTACACATGTGTCTGTGTTATGTAGTCAGTGTATACTCGTGTCTTTGTTATGTAGACAGATGTATACATGTGTCTGTGTTATGTAGACAGATGTATACTTGTGTCTCTGTTTTGTAGACAGATGTATACATGTGTCTGTGTTATGTAGTCAGTGTATACTCGTGTCTTTGTTATGTAGACAGATGTATACTTGTGTCTCTGTTTTGTAGACAGATGTATACATGTGTCTGTGTTATGTAGTCAGTGTATACTCGTGTCTCTGTTTTGGAGTCAGATGTATACTTGTGTCTGTTATTTAGTCTGTGTATACTCGTGTCTCTGTTTTGCAGTCAGATGTATACTTGTGTCTGTGTTATGTCAACAGATAAAAATGTCTGTTGTGTGATGTATTGATCTGAAGGAATTAACTAATCAATTTACTATTCAGAAGATGTTAATTCCCCCACAGTAATATGGATTGAAAGAACGCAAGTAAATATTGTACTTCTGTATACAAAATATTATTGGATATGTCACACTCGTACTCAGCTGTATTATCTTTTTCTGATAGAACTCGTTAATGATGTGATGGTCCAGCTTTTTATTTATTTTCTATCTCAAAGACGACTTGAGGTAAAGCACGCTTTGGTTTCTCATTCTCTAGATGTGTATTAACCGATTTTTCTGTGAATTATGAGAATCTGAAATCTTCCAAACCGACGAAAAAACAGATTCAAATTTATGAGACACAAGATTAAATGGAGCATATGTGTATCTAAAATTTAACTCGTTGCTGAAGGCGCTATTAATTAAACACAAGACGTATGGAACATATGTATATCTATAACTTAACTCGTAGCAGAAGATGATTTGTATTAAACACGAGTCTTCAGGGGCATATGTTTATATATAACTTAACTCGTCGCTAAAGACGCTAGCTATTGGAGTGTATTCTTATAACTATACCTGTTTGCTAAATAAGGGAATCAGAAAAATATATATATATATGATCACAAAAGTGTATCTGTTTGTATAGTCATTATATACCATTTCGAACACAGCGTTGAGAAAGCAGAATATAAAATTACAATGACTTACCTGTCCGAACACAGCGTTGAGAAAGCAGAATATAAAATTACAATGACTTACCTGTCCGAACACAGTGTTGAGAAAGCAGAATATAAAATTACAATGACTTACCTGTCCGAACACAGTGTTGAGAAAGGCAATAATTTCTGGTTATAGGCACTGTAAAGATATAGAGATATACATAAGTTTTCAGTATCGGGATCTGTGCGTCGGTATAAACACAGTGTAAGATAATCGAATGTCGAATTTATATACAAACACCATTATCATGCTTCTAAAACTATGACCGAAACAGATTTGTCGAAACTTCCATATAATTTGATTGTATTTGATATTGTTTTAGTTCATTTTTGTTCATTCAATTACTTATTTTGCTCTGCAAATGCATCTACTTTAACATTTTCGATATTTCAGGGGTTACAATCACTTTTGCTCTCTGCACCACTTGAACATGTCATGGCAAAACCGAAAGCAAAAGCTAAGTAATATGATTGCTTCAAGAAGAAAAAACTGACCGATCACAGGCTGATACGCTCCTTTTGAAGATTACAAAGGAGTGACACACCCAGCTTCACTCAAAGCCATTACGATATACTATTATGCCACCTCGAGATTCGTTTGATGTGCACCAAAGGATCAAACTAGTCTTTTCGACTTGTGCGAAAAGTGTTGCACGCGAAACCTTTAGTTCTGCCATGACATGTTCCAGGGGTGCAGAGATTGAAAGTGATCGTAACCCCTGAAGTGCCGAGGATGATAATATCATCGTTTTAGGATGATAACTGGAACACAGTTTAAATCGAAATCAAACATTCAACAGATTTATGCATTAATCTTACTTGTAAATCAAGGTTTCGAAAGATGCAGGTTGATGAAAATTATAAGAAATTTTACATTCTATTCCTAACCTGTCGAAACCGCTTTATAGAAAAATATAAAACGATTTCTGCTATGATATCCTAACAAAACCGCCATGAGATTTATAATTAAAACCATATGAAGTTAACATGTCTACATCACACAACATTTTTCAACAACTTGGTTGAACAAACCCATCATAAAACATCAGACGTTAATACAGATTGTTTTCTACTCCCTATGACTGTTTCAGCTTCTCCTTCTACCGACAGAAATCGTCATAATGATTACAATAATAACGGAAACCCGATAGTGTACGTGAAATTCAATTCTTTATACAAATTTAATGGGGTGTCCTGATATTTCGTTATGATAACACTATACAGTCGTCAATCTGAGATTCCAATATCCTTGGATACATTCTCTAAATAACATGTTTATAACAAGGAAATCAATTCCAAAACAAATTTTCGTTAGTTTCAAATGGTGATATTGTATTCGTCTAGCCATGTGATATTATTGCTCAGATAGATCAAATGTATTTTAAAATGCAAGGAATTCGAGTCTCATTTACTACTTCAGAATTGATATTTACATTAAGGTACTGTACATTTTATATAGCATTAATGATGTAAAGAAAGCTAGCTATGGTGAGTCATACTCTATATGTATTAAATGATCTTATACGGCGCGACATAACCTGAACTCTCCAGGCGCCACATACCCTATATTTTCTAAGGGTATCTTCAAATAGCGATATACCCTTCTTAAAGGGCGATCATCAGGCGCGACATACCCTCTATTGTTAAAAGGGCTCTCCTTCGGCGCCATACATCCTTTACTGTTTAAAGGGCTCTCATAAGGCGCGATATACTCTCTTTTTAAAAGGGCGATCATCAGGCGCGACATACCCTCTATTGTTAAAAGGGCTTTCCTAAGGCGCCACATATATTTTATTGTTTAAAGGGTTCTCAAAAGGCGCGACATACCCTCTATTGTTAAAAGGGCTCTCCTAAGGCGCCATACATCCCTTATCGTTTAAAGGGTTCTCATAAGGCGCCACATATATTTTATTGTTTAAAGGGTTCTCAAAAGGCGCGATATACCCTCTTTTTAAAAGGGCACTCAGAAGATGTGACGTACCGTCAATTTTCTATTCTAAGGGCTCCCACCAGGTGCAATATAGCCTCTATTTCAAGGGCTCTCCAAAGACGCTATGTAGCCTCTATTTTCAAAGGGCAAAGTCATTTCAAAATTATCAATTTGCGTATTATCCTCCAGAAATACTGTTACCGATTCCATTAAGAATACTTGCAGTAGTTTTGAACAGTACCTTGTAATATTTGAATCGCTCAGATTACAATAATTCAATCATATACAACTTTTCATCCTCAAATGAGACAAGTCTTTAGGATTTCTGGAAACGAATTCTCTGAAGATAAGTTTAAAAAGGCACAAAACTTTTCTATGGTTCTATTTCAGGTTTGTGATTATCTATTATACAGTATAACAGGTTTATTTCTTCACGTGACGAAAAAGTTATATGGTATATATTGCTGATATTTCTCACTCCAAGTAAGATCAAACGAGACCAAACTTTCTTCATTCTATCAGTAGAAAATTTAGAGTAATTGTGACTTGTGACTTTAATGTCGTTTGTAATTGTTGTAGAGCGTATTCTGTTATTCAGGATTTTTCATAATTTTCATATTTCCTGACTTTAGAAGAAAGCTGTTATTATTTTTGATTTCCACACTCAAAGTTTTGCATCTGGTTAATAAAGTGTAAAATTATTGAAATATTTTTAATAACGTCAATATTTGCTCTAAGTGGTGGAAATTCATTTCTAATTTACTGCTTAACCTAATAACCGTACACTGGTTTTAGTTTGAAATACATGTGAAAATATTAATTATAACTTTTTAATGAATAATTCTGTTGAAGCGGACGAAATTGGTTGGTTGGTTGACTGGTTTTCCGTCTCAACAACTATCTTGTGTCCAGGTATCGCCTCACCAACTAACATCATTCTTCTGTTGACATGAGGGCAAACGTGCATCCCCCCTCTCACTTCCACACAAGTAGTTATACACACTGATAAAACACAACAACAAATTATGCGGCTTATTCAAAGTTTGGCGATATTGGAACACGTCTCCCTAAACGAGCAAATAGTAGAGAGGAAAACTGTCCTTTAGCGGCTTAAAGACAGGCCAAACTTACCTTACCCAATAATTTCGTTTAAGGGGTGTTGATCCGCTTGTACGTTAACCATGTGCTTTCTTGTCTACAGTTGAACATGTTTTAATTACTTGTCAGATTTGTTTTACGAATTCCTACAAAGTATGTCCTGTTCCCGGACCTGAATAACCTGCTCACGTTCGTCCAACTGAACAAAATTCTGAATTTCATTATAGATTGGTCTTTGCAACAAAATAGGAACCAAATTATATGTATGAACTAGACGATATCATTTGTATTAATTGATTTATCCAACATAACACATAGTTTTTCACGAGTTTTAATATTTCTTTTTAACTGTTTCTCCTTACAGAACATAGTTTGTAGTATGGCCAAAACTGACCCTGACTGTCGACCGACAGGTAAAAAGGCTAATAATGTGCTGTGGAAATTAGAGACTGAATCGTGATGTCTTTTATAGGCAATGGATGGAATGTTTCCGAGGCAAATAAATCTTCCACACGGACTGCGATCTATTTACTAATTATTAACGATAGTCCTCGAGCCATGGACAAATTCCAATACCTGACGCAAACCGCGAAGATCATATACGACAATGATTTCTATAATTTATTCTCCATCTAGGGAATTTACATACATTTTCAATTGAAGTTGGACTGCTTGATGTCTGGTGGATCCTTGTTCGCCGACGACTCCTTTGGGAACGTGCCATTACTTATTTGCATTGACCGAGATTTATATGTTGTGGATAACATAGAAAACGCTCACCATTCCGGAACACCTAATCTTACTTTCCTTTTACGTTTTCATTTTATTTTTGTGGTTATATTTTACTATCGTTTCATCGCAAAACAACAAGAAAATACCAATATGTCAATAGAATTATAATCCAAATTCAAATCCAATCAAACTAAGGCAAGGCAAAATATAAACGAAAGAAAGATTTCCACAGAGACTCCTGAAAAAAGTACAAGGAGATTACGACCAGGTGTTCCGGAAGAGTAAGCGTCTTCTGCAACATGGAAGACGACACCCGTAATGTAAACCTTAGTCAATCCAAGTAAGTAATGTCACGTTTTCAAATGAGAACAATGTATACAACAACGGAGCAGGTAAATTAAAGAGCATCAAATACGTCCAACTTCATTACACGCCAAGAAACGGAATATTTCTCAAATGGATTCAGTTGACATACGGTAGTTTTTTTTTCTATAAAGCGGTTTAAACAGACTTCTCTCTACCCATGTTACAAAATCAAACCAATAACTCTAATCCAGAGTACTCTGTAGCACTCCATATCAAAAAGGACAACGAAAGGAGCCAACAAACACTGGCCTAAGAAACATTAGAACGTTGTTGTTACTGTATCTTAGAATCGATGCTAACACCACACACCGTATTTCACACGACCAACCAAAAACACCAAGGATTGTAAATCTTTCTTACACACAATAATTACAATAAGCGGTGTGTTTCTATCTTACTAAATTTTCATGCATAGCATCTTAGTAGAAATTTCGCTCTCTCGCTTAAAATTTAGCGTGCTGTCAGTTCAAAACCAATCTTCAGATATATCGATTTACACTAGACTTGCATAGTAAGTTATCACAATGCCATGTCTGTACATAATCGCCTATTTCATTGCTGATTAGATATGTTAACTGTTATATAGAATTTTAGCAGAAATACAATAAACTGACTTACAGGTGATTAAGGTCTTTCCATGTAAAGTTTGAATTAGAAGGAGGCGAAAGCTGTATTATGCAGTCTTATTCATCAGATCGCATTTTCTGGTTCTATTGCAATTTCATATGAAAAGTGGTAATTCTTTTGTATGAATTTTGTGCCATAGAATCTATGACGATGACGACATCAAACGTGATGTTTTATATTACAACCTAATTTTAGGAGGTCATGATTCCATAACAGCAGTGAAAACATTGATGATTGTTCATGGTGTTATGGAAGTCAAATGCTTGTAATATGACAACTGTACAACACTTTTACATTTCGAAATTTTCTCTGACACAAAATTTGTTCAGTGGCGTTGTCAACAACAATTCACTTTAAAGTTGCACGTTTAGATCCGTGACTCAAACAATATAGATCCAACTCAGAAGAAATTTGCTAGATAAATAGCTAGGTCATGTAATGGGCAACGCAACCATCATTTACAAAATATCTTAGATTTCACAGTCCATGAACTCTGAAGATTGGAGATGCTGAAAAGGTTGACTTTAATTGTTTTGCATTGAACTCAGTTTCTCATTATGTTCATCTGCTGTTTCAATCAAACTTGTAATAAAATGTCATTTTAGTATGGACATTTGAACCATCGAAATAGATTTCGTGAATTTTACTCATTTATCTAATTTATTTTATCTATTTTAAGTCATTTTTCTTTTATTTTTTCATTCATTTATTTACTTGAGTGAATTTTGAGGAAAGAAAACAAATCGATTTCATGTTTCAAAATATTCAAGCATACGGTGTTGACATATTGTTAAACACTTGAAAATTTTGACTGGGAGATAATATTTAATACAATAAAAGAATTTTGTTTAAAAAATTCAATATTAAGAAGGCGAAACAGCTGTGACTTATAATTACATGTTATACGTATACAAAGCAGCATGACGGTATATTTTCAGGGCATTTATGAGAGGATGAAAACACTTACCATTACCGGTGGTCCTGCGGCATCTTTCATCTCTTATTAAGGCTATAACAACGAATGAGACGGCGGCCACAAACAACAGTAGACAGATTGTGGCTAGGTATTTCTCACGGGCCGTCCATGGTTTGGTACAGTTTGAGTGATTTGTTATGTGCACTGTGAGATCAACCTTTTCACAACTACTTGTCTGTGGTTTTGCCTGTCCACGGTTTCCAGTTCGGGGTTTCGTGGAGCCACGATAGTACTCAATTCCGCCGTTCTGAGTAGTAGGTGAACCACTGCTTAAATCGTTATGGTTGTTATTGAAGGTATAAGTCACAGACATCGTTGATGTCGAGAAGGTTTCCGCGTTATCTTAAGCTGTCGTAGGCAGATCGTAGAACAGGAAGAGTACACGTGGTTCACGACTGTGCTGATGGATTTCCGAAAACATATCGGATGTAACAGAATCTCCACATCCTATACTGAACATAACGTTATCGCTTCCACAAGCTTCTCCCTCGAACGTCAGGAATACTGCAACAGAAGACAGGACACATAAATACACTAAGATATTTCCTTAAGTGACGGTGTTGGGAAGACAGCAACCAGTTCCAATGTGGTACGCATAACAATGAGTTATTATGTAAGATATTTTAATGCATGTATCAATTTTAAAATATGCACTTTCATGCATATCGACTGTTTGCATGACGGAGCTAATTACGAAAAGTCCTCGCGCGTTTTCATTATCTTTAACAGAAACTAATCAAGGTTAACATGATACGAAGAATGTTAGAACTCAATCAATACATTACAACAGTATCACTACAGCAGCAGCCATTGCTACTGGCGAGGGGTGACAATTCTCCATACAGCGGTGTAATGCTTAAGTCGACAGATCGGATTTTGAAGCGAGGTGAGAAAGTAGGTCAAGTGGATTTTGGATGTGTAAACAACTTCGTTTGAAGGTTTAACCAAAAATCAGTGTGTGAATTGACAAAGGGTGTTGAAATAAAGGGCGCGGGCATCCACTACGAACATGTGTATTATCGCATCATTGTTATAAACAGGATACATGGTTATTATCACTTTAACGTTATATAAACATGAGACATGGTTATTATCACATTACGGTTATAAACATTGGACGTTGTTATTATCATATAATTGCTATAAACATGAGACATGGTTATTATTGATATAAACAGAAGATATGGTTACTATCACATTATTGGTGTGAACAGCAGACATAGGCACCACATTATTTATGTGAACAGCAGACATAGGCATTATCACATGATTGATATGAACAGGATACAAAGGTATTATCACATGATTGTTATAAACAGGAGACATGGATATTATCTTATAATTGCTATAAACAGGAGATATGGATATTATCTTATGATTGTTATAAACAGGAGACATGAATATTATCTTATAATTGCTATAAACAGGAGATATTGATATTATCTTATAATTGCTATAAACAGGAGATATGGATATTATCTTATGATTGTTATAAACAGGAGATATGGATATCATCATATAATTGTTATAAACATGAAACATGGTTATTATTGATATAAACAGAAAATATGGTTATTATCACATTATCTATGTGAACAGCAGACATAGGCATCACATTATCTATGTGAACAGCAGACATAGGCATCACATTATCTATGTGAACAGCAGACATAGGCATCACATTATCTATGTGAACAGCAGACATAGGCATCACATTATCTATGTTAACAGCAGACATAGGCATCACATTATCTATGTTAACAGCAGACATAGGCATCACATTATCTATGTTAACAGCAGACATAGGCATCACATTATCTATGTTAACAGCAGACATAGGCATCACATTATCTATGTTAACAGAAGACACAGGCATAATCACATGATTAATGTGTACATGAGACATGGATATTATCACACAATTGTTACAAACAAGAGACATGGGTATCATCACATAATTGTTATAAACATGAGCCATATATATCATCACATGACTGATTTGTACATGAGACATGGATATTATCACATGATTGTTATAAACAGGAGACATATTTTTTATCACATGATTGATATTAATAGGATACACGGTATTATCACGACTTCAGATCAATCCGTCATAACTGATCCTGTAAAATTCAGAATTATATTATTCGCATGGAATGGTGGCTGTGATGTCGGAGACATAAAGTCAAATGATGAAGGTAATCACATTTTCTCAACGTGGAATAAAATTTTACAGGTAGAAAACCTGTTTTGTTGTTCATTTCAGCAGGATGCGTCTCTAAATATTTTTCCGAAAACTTATTTTGGTATGGAATTTCCACCGTGCGGGCGCACTTGCTTTTCACTTAAGCGACCGGGGTTTGATCTCCTGATCTGATGTGAAAAGGTCAAGGGTCACTTGCCCGACAAAGCTGGTCTGCCTATGGTGCACCAGTTTCCTCCAACATTAAGACCCCTCACGCACTTAACGTGTTGTGATACCAACAAAATAGATTGATATAAAAGCATAATTTGTTTCGCTGTTGACAAATAAATAAAATTTGTATTTTATATCTGAAGGACGAAGCAGCTGATGTTATATATATATATATTTGGTTCTCGTGACTTGTAAGGAGAAGTTCGTTAGGGTGCCATTTATAAATCATTTAGAGACACGAATCTGCTGTGTTCGCTCCATACACAATGATCTTATGACTGGGTAGAGGAAATTAAAGGAAATGAATGTCTCCACGTCTGTTTTGTACTCTGGTGGTGAGGAGGAAATCTCTTTCAGCATAAAAGTACATGCCAGCCTAGGGAAATCGCGGAGCTGCATCTATCTATTGAAGGAGTTAAAGAAAACAAACAATCTAAGGCTTGCATGGAAAAAACCATAAATTAATAATGAAAATATCCGTATGTATTTCGTGCAGATTCTGTTTTCTAAAAACATATTAACATGCTCGGTCGTGCTAATCGTTCCTTGTACTGGAGTTCTCAAGCGCAGTGGTGGCCGTGTTAACCATTCCTTGTTCTGGAGTTTTCTTTAAATTCAGGGTGGTTGTGTTGACCGTTTCTTGTTCTGGAGTTGTGTTTAAATTCATTTGTGGCCGTGTTAACCATTCCTTGTTCTGGAGTTTTCTTTAAATTCAGGGTGGTTGTGATGACCGTTTCTTGTTCTGGAGTTTTCTGTAAATTCAGGGTGGTCGTGTTAACCGTTTCTTGTTCTGGAGTTGTGTTTAAATTCATGTTGGTCGTGTTAACCGTTCCTTGTTCTGGAGTTGTGTTTAAATTCAGGTTGGTCGTGTTAACCGTTCCTTGTTCTGGAGTTGTGTTTAAATTCAGGTTGGTCGTGTTAGCCGTTCCTTGTTCTGGAGTTGTGTTTAAATTCAGGTTGGTCGTGTTAACCGTTCCTTGTTCTGGAGTTGTGTTTAAATTCATATTGGTCGTGTTAGCCGTTCCTTGTTCTGGAGTTGTGTTTAAATTCATGTTGGTCGTGTTTACCGTTCCTTGTTCTGGAGTTGTGTTTAAATTCATATTGGTCGTGTTAGCCGTTCCTTGTTCTGGAGTTGTGTTTAAATTCATGTTGGTCGTGTTAACCGTTCCTTGTTCTGGAGTTGTGTTTAAATTCAGGTTGGTCGTGTTAACCGTTCCTTGTTCTGGAGTTGTGTTTAAATTCATTTGTGGCCGTGTTAACTGTTCCTTGTTCTGGAGTTGTGTTTAAATTCATGTTGGTCGTGTTAACCGTTCCTTGTTCTGGAGTTGTGTTTAAATTCAGGTTGGTCGTGTTAACCGTTCCTTGTTCTGGAGTTGTGTTTAAATTCAGGTTGGTCGTGTTAACCGTTCCTTGTTCTGGAGTTGTGTTTAAATTCAGGTTGGTCGTGTTAACCGTTCCTTGTTCTGGAGTTGTGTTTAAATTCATTTGTGGCCGTGTTAACTGTTCCTTGTTCTGGAGTTGTGTTTAAATTCATGTTGGTCGTGTTAACCGTTCCTTGTTCTGGAGTTGTGTTTAAATTCAGGTTGGTCGTGTTAACCGTTCCTTGTTCTGGAGTTGTGTTTAAATTCAGGTTGGTCGTGTTAACCGTTCCGTGTTCTGGAGTTGTGTTTAAATTCATTTGTGGCCGTGTTAACTGTTCCTTGTTCTAGAGTTCTGCTTGAGTTCAGAGGTTGGTCGAGATAATCTTGCCTTGTTCTTGAGTCATGTTTAAGTTCAGTGTTGTCCGTTTTAGCTGTTCCTTGTTTTGGATTTCTATTTACGATATTAATGTTGAAAAGTCGCTATTGTCCTGTTGTTTTAAAAATGAACTACATTATAAAGATCTTCATTCAAAGCCAGCAATCCTTATACATACAGCGTTGTTGACATCTGTCAAACAGATCTTATGTATTTCAACAATTTTCTATACACAATAGGCAACTGGCTGCTATAGTATGTCCCTTGGTACCCAACCTGTTTCCATTTCTATGTGATAATCTAAGTATCCTGCCATACCGTCCAGTTTCTATACTTGTATGATTCTTAGTCCAAGGTTTGCCCTTGATATGATGAATCATCCGGAAGGGAATTCATGGTCTTCAGAGTTCAATCAATGCTGTCGTTGTTCTTGTAACATGTCATAGAAATAATCTTGTTAACAAGGTAAGATAACTTTAAATACACTGTACATGTAATTCTGATGTAAAGTATGCTGAGAATTCACTTCCATTCCATAATAGGAATGTCAACCACAACTTTTTTTTTAATCTTTCAAAAACAAAGTCCACTCCTTAGACGGAAATGATACCTTTGGAGTGAAAAAATCATGGAAGATTGTCATGGAAGGTTTGTGCAAAACTTTAATCAAAGTGGGTTTTGTGTTTTCTAAAAGAAGTTGAAAATGTTAATTGTTTACGACGGATGACAGACAAAAGGTCATCGCAATAGTCGCCATGAGACTTAATTTCAGGTGACTTTAAATTAATACCTTAATTAACAAGGATTTCCTTTTTCTATTAGGAATGTGAACAAAAAGGGGAGGTACATAATGTTAGAGTAACTCCAATGCGTTCGGATAAAATAAACCTAAAATTTAAAAGTGTTTAGAGAATCAGCTCATACGGAACGAGAACTGACTCAATGGTAACTTTTTATCAGCAATAGCAGATTTGATCGTCACATTTTATAAGGAATAGCAGATTTAATGGTCATGTTTTATCAGGAAAGCAGATTTAATGGTCACAGTTTATCAGGAATAACAGATTTAATGGTGACATTTTATCAGGATAGCGGATTTAATGGTCACATTTTATCAGGATAGCAGATTTAATGGTCACATTTTATCAGGAGTAGCA